ACGATATGAAACGGAACGAAAAAAAAAAAATAAGAGACGAGCGACGTTGTACATCCGACCTGTAATGAGTCAAAGTGTGTGCGTGTGTACACACACGTTATATCGTGGAGAGGGAGGATACCACGAGGAAAGGGCACACGTCCGCAACGAGCCAAGGTACAACGGGTGTGTTATACCTTTGAAATGGCTCGAGGAGAATCGAAAAGAATGAAAGCGAGGAGAAATCTGCCCGACTTCCGATCCATTATGTGAGCGCGTGTATGTGCGTATGATATGCCTCTGTGTCTGTCTTCAGGAAGAAGCAAGCCAGAAACTTATTTGTTCGAGGGTGTTGACGTTCAATAAGTTTTTCTTAACTCCGTTCTGTCTCTGTTTGACGAGCCTGAATGAGAAAAGAGAGTATAGGGCCGATGATGGCTTGCCGATTATCCGCGATATCTTTCGATTTTACTCGTGTTCACACGTGCTCGTGACGCATTGTAATTTGATTCAGACGTTACGTATACGATTTCACGGGAAAACTCGTACGGACCGGTAAAAGCTTACACGTATCCAAAAAAAAGAGAGAAGAGAGAGAGAAAAATCGCCGAGTCATAGGCGCATTCTAATTGACCTAGAAAAAAAAGTGAAAGGAAAATCTCATTGTCATCGAAGTGGAGTCATATATATTGTATTCACTCGCTCAATTGGGCACCGAAAAACAAGTGCAAAGAGATTAATTCGTGTATACGCTGCCGAGGAACCGGTAAAAACGATCGACGTATTAACTGTCCTTGTATGATTCAGCTGCAGTCCAGATGTTCGCTCGTAATGTACGGAATAAGTTCGAGCTGTTGTGTGTATGCGTGCGTACGTACATGTACAATACACGCTTGTACGTACCTACACACGAAACACTTATGCGTATATGTAGCCGCAGCACCACAGATGCGCACGCACACACACATTGTCCGTGTTTACGCGAGTGTGCGTGTGCTATGTAGAAAAATACCGAAAAGAGGACCGCGATGTTTCGTCAGCGGCGTCGCCTGCCGAGTACGTATTATTATATTATATGAATACATATTGGATCGGTCGATATGCGGCTTATCCTATATGTGTGTATACCGAGAGCCTCTGCTCGACCTGTTTGATATATCGCTAAGGTCATAGAGAAGCTGCTTTAACGATTCCCGATTTTCGCAGAAATGTTTTTTTTTTGCAGGAATTCGCGATCTATAGGTAGGAATGCTCGTCGAAGCAACACACAGGACTGAGCAGACACCCATGAGTATAAAACGACAATAGAGAGAGAAAGAGAGATAGAGAGAACGAGAGCGAGAGTCAGCGAGTATAAAGTGCAGGTGGAGATGTAACCTAACCTCACAAATGTCTCGTCTTGCAATGCCGATTTATTAGTTGCTTAGAATATCGATCCATAAGGACTAGTCTCTTGGGTTCAACGGGCAAATTGGGCATCACAGAAACGCCGCGTTCGGCATCGCGATCGATCGTGCGTATACATTACGACGCCGCCTCGGCAAACAACAGATAATGGGAGTGTATTTGTTAACGATTTTTGTGTCGAAGGTTCGGCGTCGCATGGCTCGCGAGCATTACACACATAAACGACGACGACGACGACGATGTCAATGCCGATAATATACGTGCGTTCGTATTGTTATATGCGAGTTCTCTCTCGGGCCGCGCGACACGTACGTAATAATAATTGTATGTATGCGCGCTGCTCGGTAGCGGCCGCACAATATATACATATAGCATATACAGACATTAATATAGGCGCACGCAGCAGCAGCAGGCAGCGACACATACGCCGACCGCCCTCGGCGTATTATCTAATCGATAACGTTCTTACTCGCGGCCCGAGACAGCTCCTACGTACGATATACATATAGCGAACTCGGCCTGGCCTGGCCTAGCCTTAGCCTGGCAGACATCGTGCTCGCGTCGATTTCGAGCGACGCTCCCCGGCAATGTCGATCTGCTGCTACTGCCTCGCCAGCACGCGTTCGGCAAAATACCTTCGAGTATGGCATATAGGTGTACATGGAAGAGAGCCTCGTGCGATTTTATACAAAAACGAACGAGCGCAGGCAAACGAGCCATGGCGATTTATATCGTCACATCCGGCGAAACGCGGCAAATATGAGCGCGAAATAGCCGCCATACAGATATTATATCGCGCGCCGAGCGCGAGAAAGACAGAGAAAGGGAACGAGAGGGAGAGAAAGAGGCGAAAAGTCCGGGTGGTGTGTATATGCCGCCTCTGTATGCGATCGCCGCAGCAGCAGCATCGAGAGCATCGCGAGATGATGGGCGTTCGTTCTCTATATAGGTATATAAAAGCATCGCTGCTGCTGCGTCGAAGAGCTGACCGAGCCGAGCCGAGCGCGTTCCGTTGACGTTATAAAATATCCTATATGTAGCAGCAGCATAGCAGCCGGCGCACATGCGCTTTAGCCGCGGACTCGCAATGCGCCTGAGCAGCCCGCAGCACCGCATAGACCTCGGAACGACGCTCGGAGAGCAGCTCGGCCTAGCACGCCACCGATTTTCGATTTCAGTATTGGTTGGGGTTCGGCACCGACAAGAATACACTCTCTCGTACCGCTCCGCACTGTAGCCCACGTTCTCTGCCTACTACTACTACTATATCTACGCTCGCTATACAGTTCGTCACTTCCAGCGTAGCGCCGCCAGTGACTCTGTGTGTATGTGACTGCGCGCGAGTGTGCCCGTGTACATCATTCGAGTGTGTGAGTGCGCGCGCCGATCTTCGACGTTCCCGAAAATCCGATCAATTCGACGAATAGAAAGATCGACGATTTACCGACCAGTCGCGGAGGTATCGTCTAGCAGTACACTACTGCAGTGCTGAAAGCAAGGCAGTGTGTGCGTGTGTCCACTTCGTATAAGCAAGCGCGTAGGAATCGACGATCGATTGTTCGAATGCAGCAAGTCATATCGCAGACGCCTCAACAGTGTTTCAACATGTAAGTACAATCCATCGATTTTAACGCAAATTCGTGTACAATTTCTTTGCGGCAAAAAACGCGCCTGTATTTATATAGAGGCGATGCAGCAGCGAGCGATCGTTATATCCAGGGCCGTCTGACGGAATGGCTGGATCGGGCGCGCACTCGCTCACGTGTTGCTTGCTCGAGGCCTGTAATATACGACGCGTCTCTCGGTGTTGCTGCTTCATGCTTATATGCGAGCCGAGCCGAGCCGAGCAAAAGCCGACCGGAAACCGCGAGACTGGTGTTGTGTGCATTCGAGGCAGCAGCAGCACCGAAGTTGCAACAAAGAGAGGCCCCGAGTGTGCCGTGCCGAGCCGATCTGCTGTCGCCACCGCCGCGCACAACAGTTGCGATCATCGTGCAGTAGTGCGTCGCCCGGCACAGTACAGCGACGAACAGCAACGAAGGCATTACTCATGCGTCTTGACGGTTTCTTTTTTTTTTTTTTTTTGCTTCTTTTTTTCGCGCATCGCCGTCGTTGCCGTCCTCGTTCGCGTACTACAAACAAATACGAGAACGAGCGCGCGCGTGTATAATAATAAGACATACGAGAAGAGTTTATAACGCGGCGATGATGATGATGAGAGTGCAGTCGCTCTTCTCCGTTGGTGCGAGAACATGAATACCATTCATCGAAACGGTCGGCACGTACGAAAAAAAAAAATAAAAAAAATAAGAATGAGTGCGACTGACGCTTTATATTGTGTGTGCCCGCGCGCTTGCACGTGTATGTGTGCATGTATGTACGTTTGTCTCTTTTTCTCTCGTTTTCTCTTTCGTTGGCGCGCTCTCGTATGCCGCAGTTCCGAGCTTCATCTCTTTATCTTCCTCGGGGCTTCTATTCTCATTCGCTCGGGATACATGCTCGCACCTATATAAGCGAGAGAGACCGGTATAAGACGCATTAGTGTAGATAGATATATAGTAGGCGGCATCAGACATCGTCTATCTTTCTCTCTCGTTCGGCAAAATACCGGCACGATGTGTTTGGTAGACGCACGCGGAGATCGGCTAGGGCTAATGCGTTCGTTCGTTACGTTCTCGAGTGTCTCGAATCTCGATTTCGTATCGTGTATATGCCACCATGTGCACTGCTCTCCCGCTCCGAAATCGTCTACATTTATTCCAATGCTGGGATGTATATGCTAGCATTATAACAAAGTGTATTATAATATAGGGAGGACCGGTTGGGCTCTATACCGAATCTCCCGAGCGCGCACGAATCGCGAACGGCGTTCACAATGTATGTAAGCATATATAAAAGAGAGAGAGAGAGAGAGAAAGAGGGGCAGCAGCAGCGAGCAGCATGGGCTCCGGCTGCACAAGTACTTGCTCGGTTCTGCGTATGTATATAGCACATAGTCCAGGTGAAAAATCGATTGCGCACCCTCTCTCTCGCTCTCTCTCTCTCTTTCTCTCGCATATACAAGGGACGCTTTGCGCAACGCCGCTCGCTCCGTCGTCGTCGTCGTCTCTCTCTGTGTGTATACAACGTGTGCATGTGTGTGCGTTTGCCGCTGGCTGGCTGGCAGCAGGCTGCTCGACGCGCGCGCAAAGCAGCATTTCAACGGTTCTCGATTTCCCGGACCGAGCGAGCGAGCGAGCCGAGCCGAGCGCGCGTTTCGCCGTCGTCGTCGTCGCCACCACCACTATAGCGCGCGCTCGGCTCGTCATGCTGTTGCTGCTGCATATATATACACAAACAGGCAGTCTCGCTCCCTTCGATGTGCAAAAGGCAGGCAGGCGCGAGACGATCCGGCGCAGCATCCGAGCCGCTCGTCGGGTGCTCTCACGGGCCGCAGTAGTAGCAGAAGCTGAGCGCACGATATTCTAGTGGAGGGGAGCAACGACTCTTTAGTACTGAGAAAAACGAGCCGCAGCAGCAGCAGCAGCAGACCGAGCTCTCTCAGATCGGTCGATACCTGTATGTACGCCGAACGCGTGTGTCTGTCTCCTCGCTGCTGCTCGGTGCCCCGACTGCACCAATACAAACGCATATAAGCGTAGCATCTCTCGCTCTCTAGTGTACGTACCGTACGTTGTTATATGTATACGGACGGGTTCGTCGACGGAGCTCTCTCTCTCTCTCTTTATATGTGTACATGTGCTCTCGGCGCGGCGCTGACTCGAGACGCGGGGATTAACTAAAAATTTTGCAGGCAGTCGCGAGCGTGTGCAATAGTGGACAGCAGCAAACAGCAGCGCGGAGCAACCACCGCGCCGAACACTTGTTCATTTTTACGCGTATCGCAATTGTTTGTTTGTGTGTGCGGGTGACTGCTGCAGTGCACTCTGCGTGGCTATCAGCGTGTGCGCGCGCGAGTGTGTGTGAGCGTGACACTGTGCTCGATATATTAATATATATAATATAGGAGGTGCGTGTGCGCGAAGGGCCCGTCAGTTGGCCGAAGCTATATAACTGTTTACAACTACTGCGTGTGCGAGTTCGGAGTTTGTTTATATACACACACACGTGTGTGCGAGAGCATCAGGCAATAGCAGCAGATAAAGAGCGTGGGTGTGGAGCACATCGTTCGAAACGACTAGAGAGAAAATCGGAGCACGCTCTTCATTGGATTTTTCGATTTTTCTCGCTTTCTCTTTCTCTCTCGAGCCACGAGGTAAGAACAACTAGGTATAAGCCGATGTATACGAACTCCCACGCGCTCGCCGGCACCTTCGATCTCGTTCGTGCGTTGCGCTAATGCAAGTGCAAAGCATGACTCTTGTATATACGATAACAAACGGTGGCAGCGCGTCACCGTGACGGATCTGTCGCCGCCGATAAAAGACTCGGGCGCTGTGCTGCTGCCTCAACGAAAACAGTTCGCGCGATCATCATCGTCGTCGTCGTCGCATACGTACTACAATACGTATAACTACGTTTATTTCGCTCGTGCACGAGCCACGGGCCACTTATATACATTATTATAACAAACGCGCGCGTGCCTACGTATTTATGTTATATGTGTGTATATATAAGTGCGCGAGTCGCTGCTTCTCTGTCGCTGTATATATATTTTGCGCGAACTGCGGAGTCTCGCGACGCGAACGAGCGAGCGTAGTTTTCGTCGTTAAAGCGCTTGCGCGCATTTGCCGATAACGATTACTCAGTTTCTCGCAGCGCGCCTATGTATACATGTATATTATGCATGTACGCGCGCACGTACATACACACACGCCCACTATACCATGCATTCGACTTCTTAGCTTTTATACATAATGTTATATTATTTTAAAACCGCCTCGTTCCTCCGCAATTGTAATGCATTCGATACCAATCAAACGATATACAGGTTTATAAAATCGCGTTATGTTTGCTTCCTGAGCTGCTGCTGCTGCAGACGCGCAAACACACACAGACGCATACATGCACATGGCAGCAGAGCCTAGTGGAGGCGCGCGCGCCTTTTTCCCGTGAGCCCATGACCGGCTGCCGCTGCGCTGCCATTCTTTGTATATCTTATTTTGTGCGTATGCGTGTGTGTGCGTGAAGCGCCGGCCGCAATTCGGAGGGGAAACAAACTCGCAGTACCGAGTCGCGCTATAGAGCACAAGCTCCGCGTACGTATGTATGCGTGTGCATCGTGTTTTTGCTCTCTCTATCCGCGGCGTGTGAACGCTCCGCAGCCTCGTAGCACCACCACCACCACCACTGTGCGTTTGCCTTCCTGCCTATATACAATGCGCCACTGTGTACAACACATGCCTGTGTGTGTGTATGCGTGTGTACGTGCGAGCGTGGATGCTGCGGAGCGCGTACCCACTGCAACGAGAGCGGGTCGCGCGAGGGGTGGCTTTTCATATAAGCTCGACGACTGCTGCGCGCATAAATGTTCGTATATATAAACGCGCGCCGGCAGCAGCAGCAGCGGCAGCGCACGTCCTTCCACTTGGACTTTATACAACACACAACGTACATATTATATGCGCGGCGCATGTGTGCGTGAATGCGTGTTGTTGCGATATATTGTGTGTGTGCTCTCGGCAGGACCTGCACCTGGCCGTTTCGTCGCCAACTTCCTTGCATTATTTCGTACGTATGCGCGTATAAGCCCGGACGAGGCGCGCGATCGTATCCGATCCGCGCAACGAACGCGCGTCGCACTCCGGTTATTTAAGAACGATTATACTTAATCCGATTAGCGTCTCGCGAATACATATACCCACGCGTATTTACACTGTTATCGATGCTTTTCATGCTCCGGACATACAATTACACGACCTTTGCGATCGTTGCGTCGATACAATATAATGCGCAATAAGCATGTGTCAACCTTTTCATCTTCGGGCGACGTTCGGACATTCTCGTTTCTGCGCGTCGTTTTGAGCGGATGGACGGACAGCCGGGCGGGGGTACGGGGGTACATTTCGCGCGCGCCCGAGAACGAGAAAGCCTATTTTTATCGCCCGAGTGTTTGTTTATTTACCGTCGCCGCGGCACACGCCAGCCTATAGCATAGGCAACCCAGAACCAAGAGAGACGACGGAACGTTTTCAGGTGAAAACACGCGACGAATCGGACGTATACACCACGTGGTTCGTGTAACTCGGCCTCGTCGCCAGTACTCGAAGATCCGAATCGGATGTATCGTTTCTATTTTTAATGCCTCCGTATTACACTGCGCTCCGAAATTAATCCCAATGGGATCCCGGTTTAGAATATAGTACTTATATCTATATAGGTGATCTTCACAAAAGACCTTATCAAAACTAGAGCTTTGGCTTTCCATATTACTGCAACGAAGCAGCAGCAGCACACATTGACATCGAACGAGCAGCTCCAAACGTGCTCCACTGCGACGTACGGACGCAGCGACGCGAAAACGAGAGACAGAGATGGAGAGAAAAAAAATCGGAGTCGCGAGTGTCGTCTATAGCAGCAGCAGCAGCACCGAGAGAGAATCGACCGCGAGAGGGGCGAGGTTATTTTTGGCCATCATTGGTTCCTCCGAATATGAGCACTAATGTGGCCCCGCATGCGATTTCGCCTATATAAAACGACGCGATATCACGGAAAAGCGCACAGGCGCCGTAGTATCGTCGCTTCAAGCTCTCTCTCTCTTTTTTTCGTCGTGCGCGCGCGTGTTTCCTCTCCTGGCAAAATCTATACTTTTACTATTATTGTGCCTCCCCGAGGGAGAGAGAGAGAAAAAGGGAGAAGTGTCTTGAAACGAGCCGTCTGCACGATCCGCGTCAAAATATCTATATAATAATAATACGCACAGAGAGACGCACATCGCATGGCGCGCGTTTCGCAGGAATTATATCTATATATATATAGGATGTTACGCTGTGCGCTCACCTCGCAGAGATGCTCGCTCTCTCCGTGCGACGATCGCATAATATAACGCGCCGCTGCTGCGCGCGCTAAATTGCCCGGGCGTCGTCGCGAGTAAAACGTGCATGTGTGACGCAATCGATATCAATTATCGACTGCAGTTGGCCGAGGCGCGCGTGCGGCTGACGCTTCTCTCGCTCTCTCTCTCTCTCTGCTCCACGATTTTACAATCTCTCTCTCTCAGGCCGTATATAACTCATCTATAAATTCGATACGCGAATGCGCGTATACATGCTTTATAATAGAGAGAGAGAATCGAGAGCGTACACAACAGAGAAGAGGCAGCGGCGGCAGCGGCGATTCGATCGATCGCGCCTCTCGACCGGGACGACGAGCACACGATTTTCCCTGCGCTCTCCTCTGTGCCTGTCTATAACGGCCAATGAAAAAAGATTATCTCTTGTTTGCACAGCGCTAGATTACCTCGGCAAGATATATAGCCGCGCTATACGATTTAGCTTGTTGTGCTCCGGCGTCCCCGTGTGTGCTATATTATACGTGAAAAAAGAAACGACGAGATGTACATAACTATCGGTATTAATATTGACTCGCGTGTGCCGCTGCCGCCTCCTCGACCACAGAAGAGATTTCATGAATGGTGGCTCGTTGGAAATTTGTATACCGTGACTCATCGCTTCCTCTCTCTCTCTCTCTCTCTCATCTTTTTCATTGTCTGTGTGCTGGGCGCTCGATGCCAATATTTTAATGAAATTTTCGGTGAAATTCCTCATAAACCGAGGGGGAATAAAAAAAACCTAAACATCGGTGTATTAATTCGACGCGATCTTTGGCACGCTTTCATATGTGAAGATCTTATGATCACACACGGAGTCAGCTGCTACTACATTCAAGTGGCGCACAGCAGTACCGAGAGATCGGATGGAAAAATCTAATTCGATCGATGTGTACAATACTCGTGCCTCTGACTACGCTGCTCTTGGCTCTCTCGCTCACGTGTCTGCCGATTACATGTATACGTAGTATCGATTCGACGCTTCGAAAGCCTGAGCTAATAGTAACGATTTCCTCGCGACGGTTGAGAGAGCTCGCGCCGCCGCCGCGGCTTCGTAGTCGATTCCGACCAAGGTCGCGTGGCGATACGTAGTATACACATGGTAAAAGGTAACCGATTTTATACCGAGAATCAAGGCGACTCGACGAGCAATAATATCGCGTTGTGTGCCGCTGCCGCTGGCTTTCGATCTTTTTACAATCGCGCGCGCCGGCGACAGCCTCTCTCATAATACACGTCACATTATACCAATTTATAAAACGATCAAGCGTAAGGAACAAAGTAAAAATCCTCTCTCATGCCTCGATCGAATGTTTTTTTGCTTATAGATATAAGACTTCGTCGCCCGAGGTTAAAATATATCCATTTCGATCCACCGCCGCTCCGCACGTACTAAAAAAATTTTCAAAATGAACAAAAGTCTCGACAGGCAAAGGTAAAATAGCTCGACGATTTATCGCCTCGTAGATGTTTTACTTTTTCGTTCGATTTTTCGTTGGTAGTTGTTGTTTTTTTATTACTCCTCAGCCATATGTTCGCCCAGAATTATACATCATTTGCGCATGATTAGTAGGCCGCCTCTTTTGTATACATGTTTTTTTCATATCGTTTTCCGTAGGCTTATAATTTGATTAATAGTATCCACCTCTATACGTACTCGTAGCAAATCGGCCAAACAACCACACAACCACACAACAACAACAAACACTCATGCAATATTTTATGCTCATGTGCGTAGGATGAACACAATGAAAACGAGCAGTAGGAGCCTCCTCGTGTCCCCGGAGTCCAGGCGACCGGGCAAAACCATATCGTGCGTGCGTAGCAAAGCGATGCTTCACGCTATCGGTCTGACCCCGGTCGTGCCGGCGCCCGGAAGCGTCGTGCGTAGCCTCAGCCCGGATTTCGACGACGATGACGAGGATATGGATGAGGACGAAAAACCCCCCCAGTCCCAGCCGGAGCCCGAGTCCGAGGAACACGAGAACGAGGTACTCAGCGTCAAACAGGAGCCCGAGGACATGATGTCCGGCTCGGACGACATGCAGCACGACAACGAGCCCAACAGCACGGCCTCGAGCCAGTCCTCCTCGACCGGGGCCAACGTCTCCAGGAGCGTCTCGGGCGTGCGAGTCAGCTATCCCACGATGACCAGAGTGAGGTCGCACTCCAGAAGCCTCAGGGCCATGGCCAATCCGAGCGCCGTCTGGGCCCACTTCGATCTCTGCGCTAATGATCCGCTCAGGGCGCAGTGCCGAATCTGCGAGGCTGTGGTCGTTAGGGGTGGTGCCAATCCCCGACAGTGCGGCACGACTAACTTACATCGTCACTTGAGAGTTCATCACGGAGGACGACTCATCGGTCGCAGATACCATGGTAAGTAATCAGTCAATCGTTCACCTGATTTCTCGTCGCACCAAGTAATTATTCTATCGAGAAGCAAGTATACCGAATAAATTTTGGGTACGATAGGGTCACGAACAAAAAATCAAAAGACTCGTTTGAAACACCTCAAAGACTTCATTTTACTTGAACCGTTTATGCTTTTATTTAATGTAAATGTTAATACATCTCTTACCAGATAATTTATTAATAATTTTTCCAACAGTATCGCACGAAGAGACCAAAGAAGAGCCTCAGTCAAATGTTCAGTACGCAGAAGAATCCAGATCACCGAAAGCTGTACGTCTTGCTACTCAGTCCTTGATGCGGCAAATGCGTTACATAGCTCCAGCGCCGAGCGCTCCAAAACCAAGTGGTGCATCGCAAAACGTCAAATCCCATCAACAACAACAACAGCAACAACAGGCACAGCAACAGGCACAACAACAGCAACAGCACCACCAGCGACAGCAACAGCAGCAACAACAACAGCAGCGGCAAGCACAACAACAACAACAGCAGCAACAACCACGCCATCAGCCACAGCAGCCGCAACAAAAATCCCGCATCTTCCACAGAGCGGGAAAAACTCTTCAATCGAAGCCGCAATCGTTCGATCAGCACCAATCTTCGATTCCGGTGCGCCAGAATTTACAATCTGCAAAAGTCCCGGTACAGCCCGTTTTACCACCGGCAGAGGTGAGTTGAAAAATTGATCATCTGACGCTCAGCTGTCAGAGCATCAGCGTGTTCACTACCGCCAAATGGTTGTCGTATGTATACTAATTGTTGTTTTTTTTCTACTTAGGTATGTTTGAAATGGAACAGTTATCACAGCAACATGCAAAACAGTTTCCCAACTCTTCTGGACAGCGAGGACTTTGTCGATGTGACGCTCGCTTGCGAGGGTCGCTCCATCAAGTGCCACAAAATGATTCTTTCGTCGTGCAGTGACTATTTGGCTCAACTGTTGCGAGAAAATCCTTGCCAGCATCCCATTATCGTCATGCGAGACCTCAAGTTTTGGGAAGTGGAGGCTCTGGTCAAATTCATGTACCGCGGTGAAGTCAACGTAGTGCACGACAAACTGCCACAACTACTTTTGGCTGCTGAAACTCTTCAAATCAAAGGTTTAGCAGGCCCCAGTCAACCTGAGGTAAATGAAATAAAGTTTTTTGTGATATTGAAATCCCTGCCAATGAGATAACTAACATTTTTGTTCTTTTAATTGCAGCAACCTAAGCCGCCGATGCTGTTACCTCGGTCGGAAACTGCTAGAGCATTTAGCCGTGTCAACAATCAACACAAAGAGGAAAAATCACGATCCCTTCTTAATAACCCACCTTCCTCGTCTGCTTCAAATTCTGCTAAGCGTGGAATCAAGCGTCGTTTTGCTTTAATCAGATCTCGAGGTTTTCCTAAAATTCAATTTCAAAAGCCTAAAGAATCATCTGAGAAGGCTCCTGAAGTCAAATTAGAGCCTCAAGATCTGCCGGTCAGCCCTGGTGATGAACTTTATCATGCTTCGAGGCGAGGAATGGATGAAGATGACGACAATTATTCTGAACCACCTAGCATGGATGATATGCTTACCATGAGAGTTGACGATGATCCTGGCGAAGAAAACGAAGATGATCCTGGAGATGATCAGGAAGATGACGCCGATGAAGATCAAGACGATCGCGATGAAGATCTTGGAGACGAAGAAAACGATGATGCCGAATCTGTTGACACTGGTCAGTATCTTTCATAACATGAACTTGAAAATTAAAAAAAAAAACTATTTTAAAATTTCTTTATTAACAGGTAATGAAGAATCAGACGCTAATTATGCAGATGAGCAGATGGAATTTGTACCGACTGACTTTTTAGAACAAGAACAAGATACAGGTGAAGAAAACGATGACGACGCTACCGAACAAAATATTGAAGACGATGTAAGGCAAAATAATGAAGAAAATAATGAAGAAGAAAATGACGATTTTCAGGAATCTGATCAAGTACCGACAGAACCAAGTCCCAAAAGATCGAAGAAAGATACTTCGTAATGAGATGCGTTTAACTTTCACGCATCTTACTCATTAATCTTCTAAAACTTGTTACTTCAAGATACTTAAACAATTTCCTAAGGGAAAACTTATTAAGTAATTTTTTAATTATTACATTCTTTTACCGAAATTGTCGCTCTATAACTACTACTAAAAAAGGTTTTCGTAACTTATTAGTAGAACATCAAATTTCTGATGTTTTGGTCCTGTATAGAAAGTAGCTTGTTCAATCGAGATAAGATTTTTGTGAAGAAGAGAATGTGATCAATTTGAAAAAATGATTGTTTAAAAGTATTAGTCTGAAATGTTTTCCGTATTATTTTCGCTAGGTCAACTAAATGGTAAACAAAATTTTTAATTTGAGTATCCATTAATGTTGAATAAAAATTTCAAACTTCATTGATTTAAAGGAAAACTTCAATTGATTGAAATAATTGTAATAATGTTAGGAGTGTACATTTTAAGTCGGTCTACTGAAAAAAAAATCAGTAAATTACCGCAGCCAAACATTATATGTGATGCTCATTTTAATTGTGTAATTTGTAAATGTAAATACAAGTCAATATTTTACGTAATCACAACTTAATTCTAATTTCAAATCTTAACATTTCACTGCTGCGTTTTATTTTGATACAAACGTTATAATATTAATTCATCATTATAAGTAGTTTAAATTTCATAATTATTTTCGTTTTAACTTCAAAATCAGACCATTACATTGAAGTTCTAGAAATTGTACGATGTTATTCTTAAAATGCCAAATGTAATGTAAAGTTGATACCTTTAAGCATTTTTACTGTAATGAGAAATTAAGGTACGATTAACTAAATAAGTAATATTTTAAGTTTGTAAAATTTATTTGCATCTGTTTAGCATACAGTCAGTTACATATCAAGATTTTACTGTATGATACACTTTGTTTTTTTTTACTTAATAAGACTCGAGTATTAATCATGTATGCTTTTTATATTTCCTATTGATGATTGTTGTAATCTTGTCGATTTAGCACTGTATTTGTGTGCCATTCATGCTGTATATTTCGCTTACACGTTAAACAATGCATTTAAAAGAATTAAAAAAAAAGTATTGTGATTTTTTTTCTAAATCATTCATTACAGTTATGTAATATTGATCTGTCATAAGACTTTCATAGCTCAAAAATGTAAACATAATGAGTATACGTATCTAATAAAGAGTTGAATGACCAAAAATAGTACGCCAATCTTTTTACAATGCATTTTAACATATTTATATTTAATCGTGTATACGTACTAAACGTACCATTATGATTTCTTTTAATAAAGTATGTTCGCTTTCGCTATCGATTCAACTTCGGATGTAAGTCAAGATGTATTGAAGTTGTGCAACTGGAAATGTCGCGCCAAAGTTCAATTAATTTGAGTACGCACGCATACGAACTTCGCGTTGCGATTAAATTAATGAAGCACACGTACATACGTTGGTTTCCTTTTTGTTCGATACAGCTTGAATTCAAACTAAAATAGACGCAGCACTTCTGCTTTATGTAAAGACGCAAACGCGTGGATTTTATACGGAGAAGAAAAACGTTAAAATCACCCAAAAGAATTTCCTTAGAGCGGAATTTACTCATGTAAACAAGAAGAATAAGGTTTTATCGTCGAAGATCAATGAACTTTTGGCTCGGAGCACAATAAACGAATATACTATATATAAATAGGCTCTTGACATTATGCTTGTTTACTATGCAACGTATGCGCATTTTCAGTGCTTAAAAAAACAAAAACCAAAAGGGGAAAAAAATCGAACGCGATCGACGACAACAGCCGCCGTCGCTGTCGCGATCGCAATAGGTCGTTTTCTCGTGTTTTTACCTATAATAAACGGTGACATTCCCTTTTTTCCGCGCTCACAGAGACTTCTCCCTGCAGACCGCGCGCGAGAGAAAGCGAGTATATAAATAACACACGCGAATTACCTATACGAATGACTCGACCTCTTTTTTTACTTCTTTATCGAGCCGAGGGTATGTACGTTCGATTAGAGCGAGTATTATAATGCAAGAGAGAAAATGATACTCTGGGTTTCCAGTGAGTAGTCCACGCCGAGCTTCGTGAAATACGAATGACGTTGATTTCAACGATAGCGATGCAAAGCTGGGATTAGAATAACGAAATCGAATGGAAAAATACATTATTCAAGAAGGATGGAAAAAGGGAGCATCGATAGTCTCGCAACTCTCTCTACCAATGCGGCGGAGTTTAAATATTCGCCGAAAACCGACTGCTCGCAGACGCCCAATGTTCACCCCCGATGCGAGAGAGCAAAGGGGTAGAGCCGCGAGCACACACACACGCGTATCTTACAGTTGTGTGCTCGCTCGAGGCGGCGTAGGTGTGTGCTCTGTACTGCACGAAGGTATAATATCGCTCTCTGCCTGCACACACACACATTCGAATTGCAAAGTTCTCTCTACCCAACTCCCCTCCATGTAGCGCGTTGGACACACAATGCACACAGCAGCACGAGAGCCGAGCAATGCGCCGCCGCCGCAACCGCCGCTGCTCCGAGCCTTTGCGATTCAGTCGTCATCCAGCTATACGAAACATATACACGTACATATACACATAACGTAGAGTGTGTATACCTAGTGCTCGCGGCACTACTGTCACAGCAGCTCTCGCTTCTCTATATATGTGCGTCTGCGTGTGAACCATAAATACATGTACGTGTGTTTGTAAGTGTGTTGGTCGGTTGGATATCACGCATACAAACACATCTCGGGTATCGATATATCAGTGCAGCAGTAGCAGCAGCATCAGCAGAACTACTCCGCTCTCGCTCTCCTATCGTATATAAGAGCGGTATACGAACCGAAGCAATAACATCGATCCGCGGGCCCGACTTTGTGTACAAAGTGTTTAGAGACGAGAGCGAGCCCTTTGTCATAGCTGTGTTGTCGACTCTTATCTCGTTGCTCGCCCACCCCCAGCCGAAATAAACGTTATCCAGGATCCAGGTTAGAATGTCTTTCGCTTCGTAGACCATTAATTTTGTCTTATGTTAATAATGTGCACGACTACTGTATAAGCTCGAGAGTTGCCTCGTAACCCTTCGATGTTCCCAGCGCGCGACCAACACTGATCCTCGATTCATTTTCCTTTTAAATTTAGCCACTGTCGCGTCTCGTTTCCTCGCCAGTTTCTTTCAAGAAGCGTCAGTTTTTTTTCTCGTTTTTCTCTCAGCCCTTTGAGTGTCGTCTCTCCTTCGCTGTGAACAAAAATTTCCTGCGGGTCGAGTGTGCTAGCAAACAATAATAATTCATGGTTCTGCACCTCGACACGATCCAACAATCGAATTTCCCTTCGTACCGTGCGTGGCTGCGTGCATTTAAAAAAACCGACACTATGTAGATTGTTGTCATTGTCCATTGTCAAACGTAAGCTCGCGTACGAGCCGACGGCGGTGATGTAAATATGTGTTTTGTTTAGTCTGGCCGATAATGATTGTCAAACGTCGAATCTCGTCGCTCGCTGATAACGATGTTCTCTGTGCACGCGCCCACGCACTCGCATACATTTATGTATACACTTATCATATATGCCCATTTATGCATTTAACGAGCAAAGTACACGGTGCATCTATACGTAGTCGTTGCAGAGAGATTGTGTGTGCGTGTGTGTCTGTGTATGTGTGCGTTCGAATGTGTGCGCGTTGTGTTGCACACACTCGTTACTTACGCGAGTGTTGGTGCAGTCTACGTATAGATATACACTATCGCTGCTATATAGCGGCCGCGCTTCGCAGGGTTGACGGAACACAAATCGATTGCGCACGGACAACATACAGCCGTCGTCGTTGCCCTTTTTTTTTGCTCGCTCTCTTTCTCTTTCGGTTTGACACCGTTCCGCTCAATTCTTTACTTTTTCTGCAAAAATAAAAAAAAAATAAATAAGGATTCATCATCCTTCGCGGCACAGCGACTATATACAAAAGCCGTAACGACGACGATGCTTCATTATGCAAAGGATCGTTACAATTGCGTGCACGGGCAGCGCAGCGACTCCGTTTTCATTAATTTCGTCTGCTATACCTTTTCATCTGTATTATGATATGACACATACCCACACACTCGTTATGTATACAACTGAATATCAGCTCCGAACGCGTTTACGAGCGCTCGCGGCGCGTAACATTTAATAACAAAATTATACTCGGCTTGGCGAAATTTATGAATGATTCATTAACACATTCATTACTTGTAGGCAATAATATTACTAATCCGAATTGATAATTGCTCACAAATGTAAAGCAAAACATTAAATCTATGACTGCAATATTCACATTTGAAAGTTCAATAAAGTTCAATTTGTTTTTCTTAAAGGATGAATAGAACCATGAATGAAAAAGAGGAGTTGGTGAAAAAGTCATTATTCAGCTTTGTTAGAAAACAAGTCCCAACTGCCCAATTAAAGTGAGTCATTGAAATCAGTTTTTAAATGTTTTTTTCTTCTATCAAATGTAATTATTGAATGAACTGTAATTATTACTGCAGTCTTATCGATGACATTGTCTTGGGCTATGTTGTAAGCATGGTTGAAGAAAGTGCTATTGAGGAAGAACTGGATGTTGATGGAGTCAGTGAAATGGTTTCAGCTTGTCTTCCAGAATTTTCATCCATAGAAAAAGAGGCAGTCACAAAATGGTTATTCGACATTGAAAGTCAGTTACGTGCTGACTGTAAAGAAGGCAATGGAACTACACAGCAAGTTGATCCGCTGGATTGTATTAATTTGGCAGCATTACTTCCTCAAGAGCCACAGCGTACTGCACGAGTACATCATTTATCAGAAACAAGTGATGCTGGTAGTGATTCAAGTGGAGAATATTTTGCTGAGGTAAATGATCAATGATTTGTAGTATTCTTACCTTTCATTGCTTACTTTTCATTTACCTATTCTTCTCTTCAACTCAGGAGTCATCGTGGGACCAAGAAGTAGCACTATTGCAAGAAATGTTTCCTGAAGCTAGTGCTGCAGAGGCACGTCATTGCTTGGCAGTGGCCAATGGTGATATAGCACAGGCTGCACAGCTTGTTTTATGCAGACAAGAGGCTGGACAAAGTATTGTCAGCAATTGTGCATTGTTGACAGTGAGTTACTTGAAGATAATATTTAAAAAATAATAAAAATATTGCATTATTTTGTATTAATATGGCGTTGCGCTATAACGCGTGTTTATTTTTCCACAGCCTAATGGGCGCAAAGCTAAAGTTAACGACGAGGAATTGAAGGCGCGCATAATTAACCGTTATAGCTACGTCGACCGTGACGACGACTCACGCGAGCACCGTCCAGTGGCGCCGAAAACCGAGCCGAAGAAAATGGTACGTTATCTAGACAACAAAATCGTGTCTGTTAAAGGCGAGCGCTTTACCGAAGTGAAGCGTGGCGGCGAAGAGGAAGACGGCAACGAGGCTGGTCGCAAGCCCCGGGGTCACTGCCATCGCCCGTAACCAGTCGGCACGCCTCCACTTCCCGATCCACCCCCCTGGAGGCGAACTACCACTCATCTCATCTTCGTCGTCGTCGTTGTTGATCGTACAAAGCTCGAAATCGTATGCACTGACAATAACACCGGGAATGCAAATACAGCCAAAGCCGCCACCGCTGATGCTGCTGCTGCGTGACATATACTTATACACTGCGAAACGCGGACATCAAAGTTTTGCTGACTCTCTCTCTCTCATTGTTTCTTATATTAATCGTGTTCCCATAGTAGCAGCTCGAACGATTGCGCGAGCTATCATTCGACGAAATCATTACGTAAGTGCATTATATACGTTGCTATTCTTCATTGTTGAATGGATGTCATTGAGATAAGAAGATTATCCAAAGATTACTTTAGGTGCTGGCAAGGGTGACGCGATTACAATTTCGCGTCACGGCTTATCGAGCATTTTCAGCTCAAAATAAAAATTTCATCGGTAAGCTTTATCTGAAAAGTTAATCGATGAACTTTAATCCTATGATAAATATCAAATTTGACTAACATTTGCATTTTTATAAAAGTTTGGTCAGTTGAACCGGCCGCGGGGGCTGTTTACAGCGGAGCTTAAAGCTTTGAAATCTTGTTTTGATTTCGAGATTAGACTAGCTTATCACGTTATGAGATGCTATTTATACTGTGATTCAGTGGGTGAAAATTCATTGTGTAATCGGAAAGGTTCCACTGCCGTTTATTTACCGTTTCTATTTTCATGCACTGACAACCGGAACGCACTAACTTCTCTAAAGTTAATGAAAAGCTTTACACTACGACCAAATGATGATAGAATTTTTTTATTACTTTTATGGGAATTACGTTTGTTTTTATTTTTGAATATTTTATCAGATTTTTTGACATGAGCGAATGCCAAATATATATATATATATATCTTTATTACGTGTTAATTTTTGAAAAGTTTTTAGGAAGTTCGTTTTGCAATATACTTTCAAGTGACGATATTTAGTTCAATTGTAATTGAGAAAGGGGCTAAATATCGAATAGCAGGCAAATAATCAAAATAGCAAGCTTGGTAACTTTGATGTCCGAGGTTTCGTAAGTGTAAATAACTATAAGGACGTAGCGAATTATTGTTTCGCTAAACTGATATACGACTGCACGATGAAGGCCATCAAGGATGACTGCATACGTGTATTATTTTCATCGCTCTTATTGACAGCCCATCGATTTTTTGTTGAGTCTATACCCTAGTTTTATTTTTAATTTAAGACTGATATAAATAGTGGAAAATGATTTTTTCCTGACTTTACTTTACGATTTAGTTGTATAAATTATAAGGACTCTTAATTCAAAATCATTCGTGTTTCTAATTTGTTGAAAAGTCTTATATGTGTAATATGTAAAATTATTTGTGATATAAACAAGAGGGAAATACGATATAAAGTAATACACGTATGCAGATGTATATGTGTTCAATTAATGTGAAAAGGTAATAATATCTTCGAATATTTATTGTCTTGTCGTGCCGTCCGTTTCTGGGAAATGTGAATTCGCTACGTTCGTGTACATAATATGTGTCGACAAAAGTAAGAAAGATTAAAGTGATAGCGAATTTTTTGGATTAATGATAAAAACACTTCGCATCGAAGTATTATTCGACGAGGATCGAGAGCGCTCTCTAAACATTTAGATTATAGAATCTGTGTTGAACGAAGTCAGAAAAAGGGGGTATGTGATTTTAGGGAAGATAATAATGCAAGTGAATGAGCGATCGTTATCGAGCGGTTTCATACTAGATACGATTATCTCATCTTCTCTTGTTTAGCGAAAAAATTGTATTGTTTCGAGCACGATTTTTTCATTTCGAAGATATCAATTTGATATCGATATTTGTATTCTTGATTGACGATTAATTGTATGATCATATAGTTATGCATAATTTTAATCGAACATTAAGTACGTCAATCGAGAGATTGAACTTTTTAAACCCTGCTTCAGGGCTACTGAAGACTAAAAGGATGATTATTAAAATCATCGAACTTTTGCACGACAGTTTTTCAAGTTAGGCTTAGATTAATTTGATTTTTTTTAACGTGATGTGCTAAACGTATGAAAGTATGCGATAAGTCAAACTTAGTTGTTAATGATGATGATTGTTTTTTACTTTTGTTTACACTTACGTGATAATAGAAAAAAGTGGAAAAAAAGGAAAAAAAATTATTTAAAATAATAAAGAAAACAGCGATAAAATGTCCGCAAACCGTACATGAATACATGTAATTTGTTTTTCGAAAATCAATTCGAAAGCATTTATAATAAAGTTAGATAATTTTACGATTAATTAAAGAGGCTCTAAAGTTTCTTCACATTTTACATTGTCTATCAGTAAATTAGTTCTTCGTCTACAAAAAAAAGATATCATAATCTGACTGATCTTTTTACTTGAATACGTAAAACAGAATTTGAATATCTTACGATACAAACATTTTCATGTTTCAAAAGCAATGGTTTTTTGAAATTAAAAGAACTATTTGTATGGAGCATGTTATCAAAATAACACTATTAAAGTAATAATGACTCAATTGTTAATAATAATGAGATAATCATTTTTTAACTATTCATTAATTGTCATAAGTACTAATACGTCAAAGTAGCCTATGACATGTATAATTTTCACTGTTAACAGTTCGCAAGATAAAAATGTATCATCATTTATAGCAACTTTTAAAATGCTTTGGAGCCTCTTTAAAATAAGGAAAAAAACAAACAAACGTTAGGCAAATAAATACTAAGCCGTTGCAAAGACTCATTTATGATTTAATCAGTAGACAATCTTGCTTTTTATACTGAATAAAATGAAATTTTAAACATACGAATTTATCGTCAGAAAAAATTTTGACAAGTCCGTATATGACGGCTGAAAATTGGTAATTATTGCATTCAATTTACTTTTAACTCATTTATAGATGGATGAATTGTACCTACTTTTCGGAAAAACGATCCAAGCGTTCCTAACGCCATATAATTTACCAGTATTATAATTTATTTATAAATATTTATGAATTAAATTTAATTTATCATATCTTTTGAAATTTTCTTAAGGTATAACTATTACGTCGAATTTTTCATCATGTATTATAGTATTTTACAACATATTTCTTATTTTATTTTAGCGCATTTATTATTACCGTAAATCGTTTAATAATTAATAATATTGAACGAATATTTGAGCAATATTGAGTAAAGAGAACGTTTTTCAAACATCCATCCGTCTACGATATATATTTTACATTTTTAATATCTAAAATAATCATAAAAAGAATATTAAATCAACATCTATACGATAACTCGAACTTTAAAAGTGAAAATCAAATAATAATAATAATTAAATAGTACTTACGTAGTAAGCAAAAGAATAATATTTTTATTTTTCAATTGTGATTATTGTTTATGAAACTTGAAAAATCTTGTGAATCCTAAAAATGTCATTTGTCGTAAAAAAATAGCTGAATTGAATAAATGTTTATATGATATAATATTATAAAAAAATGGATAATAGTCAATAAACTACAATTAAAGTAATGAATGAATTTCATATCGTTTTATTTAGCTGAGAATCATCGCACCAGACTCATTTACTTACGAAACGCTACAGGTATAATGAAAGAACTATCTGTGTTCATTTTTACAAATCTGAATTTAATATTAATTATATAAGATCTGATTAACCATGTTTATGCAGTCAGACTCTTTTTTAAGATCAAAGTTCAGTAGACAAATACATGGTTCCGAGAATAGATGACTAAATAAATCTTGTCAATTTAGGATTAATATTGGAAAAATTTATTTCCTCAAATTACTCTATAAACCGAGGTTTATTCTTAATTACTAATAATACAAATTTAAATAATTATATCAATTATTTGCATTGTAATGTTACTGATTTCAACGATTAGTTGTTGTACTTCGTTTGTCGAATCTGTAAATAATAGTTTGATTGAAACTGGACATTTGATTTGAAAAAGACATTTCAATTAGTTCTGCAGTAAAAAATGTTCAAATTCCTCAAGCTCTAACTAACAGTTTTTTTGTTCAAAGATTTTTACCTTAGTTTAGTTTAAAATGGCTTTATTTGCTGCGTGATCAGACATTTACAGCAATTTTCCATTTTTATTTAATTGTAAAAACTTTGCTACCTGTGAACTTACGAGTAACAGCATTTAAAAATTCCCGAAAAGACTTTTTTAATGGTTCGGAAATTAGTGACTCTTTAAAAAGTTTTAGTAACTGTCAACAGAACAACACATTTTTAGTATAAAAATATGCAAATTATTGTTAGAACATAAAGATCAAATATTTTTCACAACTTCGCTAGGTAAAATACACCTGAGTTATTATTTGTTTATAACACAACTAAATTATAAAAAAATTATTTATATTATCTATTACACATGTATCAGAAAATATTTGCAACTATGAGTTTCACTCACGTTTTCCATTCATCACGCATACTTTTCCGTTCATTCATCATGTCTTAATTTTACTAAGGAATCAAACATTTAAAGTAGCAGTATCAGTCGTCTACTTCTTCTTCTTTCTGGGCTGAGGGGCTGGTAAGCTTTCAACTTTACGTTTAGAAGTTGGTTTAGGGCCCGCATTACTGCCACCTTTTTTCTTCCGTTCCTGTCTTTCACGTTCTTCAAGCTCTTGATTTTCACGTTCAATTAATGTAATCAAAGTATTACATCTGCGCTGAAGTTCTAGCGCTGTACGCGATTTTACGAACCAATCAAATCGAAATTGAGGAGCAGATCGCACTGTTGCTCTTAGTTCTTCATAAACATTTTCCTTGTCAAAACCTGTAAAAACGTTTAAGCGTTAAGGGTTTTTTTTTATAAATATACTAAACATTTTAATTCAACGAAAGCAAAAATTACGATGTTTTACCTAGTTTGTGTAGCATGCAAACAAGGAAGCGATCCTCCTCCTCTGTGTAGTTTTTACCCTTATTTGTACCATAAGCTATTCTGAGTTGGTGGAACGGTGCTCTATACCTTGCCATTTTAGCATCAAGTGCTTTTTTAATACCAGCACGTCGTTGAATTTTAGCTTCGCCTCGTTCGATTTGGGCCATAACACGGTCGATATCTTGCAGTTCATGACACCGCTCCCAAAACACGGCGGAATATTCCATAACTTCTTCTGGAGACTTACCTTCGACATCTTTAGCTATATTTTCGATATCGTCGCGACCATACTTTTCGTTTGCTTTGATGAACTGATTGAAATCACGTTTAGTCCAATTTGTGAATCCTTGAGATAAAAGACGTTCTTTTTCTGCAACTTCTTCATCAGTTAGTGGCTGCGCGTCATCGATTTTTCGTTGTTCTTCTTTTTGGGCTTTAGTAGCTTCAGAACCTAATATTTTTAAAAATGATACATGAATATTACAACTTGTATTTAAAATATAGCTATTTCAGGAGATCTGGAAAAAGTTATCAACAACTTACCAAGCTCTGGATTTTTTGGAACTTTATAGCCTACGGTTTGCCTGAAGTAATAAATTTCTTGATCTAATAGCTCAAAAAGTCTTGGAGGGAAGAATTGGAAGTCTTGAACAATAGGCTGCTTAGGTGGTCTCGGAGCTTTTGGAGCTTTTGGTTCAGATACTCGTAACGCTTCCCGGAAATAAGCATCCACAGCATAGTTAGCTTTACGTTCTCTTTTCGGAGGCTCGATCCAATGACCGATACCGAGAATCTTTTGTTTTTCTCGATAATCTTGTCCTTCAAATTGATAAACTGAGTCTGAAGGAGCATCAACAGTGAAATTTCGTAGTGACGATTCTCCAAGAGTCTCAAGTTTTTCATTCATTTCTTGCGTTTTTGATTCGCCCTTTTGCAATATAGTGTCGATATCATCGTCAGTAATTGCGCTATCTTTTGAAGCAAATACTTCATTAGCACCATGCCTGATTATGTTTAGCATTTCGTCTTTGTTCAATGCTGTTTGTTTAGCATCGACTAATCGTCCTTGTTGAATAACAAGTTTATCCAATCTCAACTTTACTTCAGCACGTTCAACAATTTTTTCTTCTACTGTATTTTCAGTAATAAGACGGAATACTCGGACCTGTGGAATAAAAATGAGGTTTTTTTTTTAACATTTGTCCATTCATGTAACAATAATAATAATAATTATAATAACATCTACTATACCTGTTTCTTTTGACCAATACGATGAGCACGATCCATGGCTTGTAAATCCATCTGTGGATTCCAGTCAGAGTCATAAATAATGACTACATCAGCAGTAGCTAAATTAATACCCAAACCACCAGCACGCGTAGACAACATAAAAATGAACTTTTTGCTGTCAGGTTCATTGTATTCGTTGATTTGCCTTTGTCTGTCCTCGTGAGCTGTGTTACCATCAAGACGACAATACTGATATCCTCTCCAATGACAAAAATCTTCAAGTATGTCAAGCATACGTGTCATTTGACTGAAAATAAGAACTCTAGAATCTTGTTGTTGCAACTTTGGTAGCAATTTGTCCAAAATAACAAGTTTGCCACAGTTATAAACCAGATGCTCATCAGTGGTGTAAGGTGGACCTGGTTCAGCTCCATCAAAAAGATAAGGGTGGTTGCAACACTTTCGCAGTTGCATGAGAATGTTTTGCAGACGCATTTTTTCAATTTTTCCAGCTCCATTTACAATATCAATATCTTTCATAAGAACTTTTGTATACCATTCGCGTTGCATTTTACTAAGACCAACGTAAATTTTCATTTCCTTTTTTGGTTTGAGAGCTTTTTCTACTTCAGATTTCAAACGCCTCAACAAAAATGGTCTGAGTACTGCATGCAACCTTTCAATTAAAGCATTGTCACCCATGAAGTTATTGGTATTAAACCATGAATCAAAATCTTCTGAACTGTTAAATACATCTGGCAATAAGAAATTGAGAAGCGACCACAGTTCGTGCAAATTATTTTGAAGAGGAGTACCAGTCAACAGCAGTCTATTAGCTGTTTTGCATTCACGTAAGATTTCAGACAGTTTGGATTTTTCGTTTTTCAAACGATGAGCTTCATCAACAACCATATAGCGCCAGTTGAATTTTTTAAAGACCCACTTTTCTCTGAGAACCATTTCATACGATGTAACACATACATCCCAATCACCTGGTAACATGACATCTCTGATGAAGGCACTTCTAGTGTCAGAGTCACCAATAAGGACTACTGTCCTCAGGGATGGGCACCATTTTTGGAATTCATTCATCCAATTTTGTAGAGTTGTTTTGGGAACGACAACAATGTGTGGTCCATGAATATTTCTGAAGTGTTTCATGTATCCCAGCAAGGAAATGGTTTGCAGTGTTTTACCTATATAAAAAATTGATTGATTATACATGAAACAATACTAAAGGAAATAAAAAGTAAATACTGTCATATGGTAATTACCTAAACCCATCTCATCAGCTAAAATACCATTGATGCCGTTTTCAAAAAGTGAAATCATCCAATTGAGACCTCGAACTTGATAATCTCTGAGTTCTCCACTTTTGATGTAATTTGGAGAGCTTTCAAAGCGAGTAATGGTAGACACATTCGAGTCAGCAGCAAGCAGTTCCTCATCTTCCTCTTGCTCAGTTTTGCTGTGTCTGTGATCATTGGGATGCCCACCACCACTGCCTTCTTCTTTTTCTGACTTGTCAGACTTGTCAAGCTTATCCCCTTGAGCCATGAGCTTCTCAGATGGTCCAGGTGTTTTGCGTGGACGACCTGGCTTGACTTTGAGGGGACTACCAGCTTTTTCCTTGGAGGAGTTAGTCATGAAATGCGAAAAGATCTCGGTCTGTTGCAGCAAAAAGTCGAAACGCTTGCTGCGATCGGTCTCGAGCTTGGTCTCGAAGTCTCCTCCACGGGACGAGTTGGTACCCGCCGAAGAATCGTTGGAGCTTTCATTGTTGCTGTTGGCGCCGTTATTATCCTCGTTCGACATGATGAAGGCAGCGAGAGAGCACCGACCGTTACGATGGGCAACGAACCCGAGGACAAGAGAAGCGACGCGTTAATCTGTCGTTGCCTGTGTATGTACGGAACAAACGCGCACAGGACACGTTGGGTTATGCTCGTCAGCACGATTCAACTCGGGACGGCAAAAGCAAGCACTCCAAATTCCTGCACAGCAACGCACAGAGATGTTGAGCAAGTCACGAGCGACGTGCCTCTCTTCAACGCTAAACAATAGTTACTTTTTTTTATAGCAAACAGAACAGAGTCGCGGTGTTGTATTGTACGCTATACTAGCGCTACAGACGCCATGTTGCTTATGTTACCGTACCGTACACACATAAGAGCGCTCGCACGTTTGTGTGTGTTAGTGAGCGTGCGGCGCGCGAACCAGCTGCAAATATCGGTTGCGCGCGCATATTTCGACGACTATGAAAAGCCGGCACACATTACACGCACACACTTGTAAAACTTGTGTATGTGTGTTTGTGTGCGCGGCCGGTTGCCGGCTGCCGCGCGCTTCGGCACTCGGATGGCGCGTGGTTTTGGCGCCATCGACGACAAGCCAAGCAAGATAGAATTGCAATCGCGAATGTCGCGAGAACTGCAGCATGCAGAAAACGAAAAAATCGCGATCGACTTGAGTCGCGATTATGTGGATTGACGGTCCTTGAACTGTCACTATTTTTGTTTCATTGAAAGGTTTTTTAACTGGAAAACGATTAGCACGTGGCTCGCTTTATTTGTACGTATAATAATGATAATAATATATAGGTTCATTGTCTGATAAGTTTTTGTAATTTTAGCACTTACCGATCGTGTATTGACTCGAGTATTTTTTTATCGAATTCGTAATTTGCCTTTGCAGACTGTTCCATTGTCAATATTATGAAAGTGTATGAATTATAATGTTTTCAATTGAAAATCTTTATTAAAAATAAGTTCAATTAACTTTATTTCATTCATAATGAACAATATTTTTTTTACATATTGTGCTTAAATCTTCATATATCAATAGAAATACATCTATTGGGAGAAAATTTCAACATTTTATCTTTACTTTTTGGCCAATCAAAAAGTTTCTTAAGTTTCTTGAAGGTTTAAACGTCCAATGAATTGAATTTGTTAATTATTCGAATTGTCACTTAAAGAAAATTGATTCTACCCTTCGAGTGCTTTGACTTATACAATTATTCTTATTTTGCCACTTGCATATTTGCAGATACAGGTACTCGCCATCTAGTGGTGAAACCCATCATACATTTTGAGCATTTCCACCATTTAAGAATATAAAATTATCGATACACATTTTTACTGCAGACCATCCGTATTAAGCTGCTTATGAATTTTACAAACTAACTTGGACCTGAAAATCTCGAATCGAATAAAATCATCCATATTATACACGCAAAATTGACTAGTATAAATGATGAAAATCTACTTTTACCTGTTTAACGTGAATAAATGATAACCGTAACTAATTCCGCTTAGCCTCATCTCCTTGATAATTTTCACCGTAATTTCGACTCCCAAACGACGTACAGCCTCGTCATCGTCACCGATGGGTAGCAATTTTTCCGACAACCACGATGGAATCTTAACTTTGCACAACTTCGTCATGCGTTCGAGTTCTCGATAAGTTTCGAAGGGAAATAGGCCAGGAATAATCGGCACTTTAATGCCGATCGCATGACAATCGTTGACAAAATCTGTGAAGACGCGTGACTCGAAAATTACTTGAGTTATGATGAAGTCCGCGCCCGACTCTACCTGAACGTGCAGAAGAATTACCATTAGCTGTTTTTAGCTGTTTTTTGAAAATTTATTCGGTGATACAATACAATCTCGGCGTGTACTTTATTTTTCAAATAAAATAGATCAAGTTCCTTGGATAACGAGGATTGATGCATTTCCGGGTATCCGGCCACGCAAATACTGAAACGTCGCCCAAACCGATCTCGAACAAAAGAGACTAAATCCGAAGCGTAAATGAAGTCACCTTCTTGGGACGATGTATCTGACATTAAAAAAGTACTTTTACTTGAAAATTTCAATACAGAATTGATATTTTTCGTACCTCCTTGCAGAATAAAAATGTTAACGATGCCCAACCGGAGTACATAATTTAAAATTTCATCGGCTAGATTTCTAGTCAGTCCTTTAGACACCAAATGCAGCAATGTATTGGCGGGGAATTTTTCCACGCATTTCAGACTTTTGCCCAACTCCTTGTCTAATTTTATTGTATTATAATCATCGTGCCACGTGAGAGCATAAAATAATGGCTTACATACTTGAAAAAATCTGTTGGTAAATATGAGGCAAGGCAGATGAAAATTTGAAAAGAAAATGTTTCACGAACAACAATGACAACCTTACCTGTGATAAACGTCAGGTACGTCAGTGGGGAAAAGCTCATAACTGCAAAAGTAATCTTTATTTCTAATTTTCGACTCGATTGAACAGGCAAGATTAACGGACTCCGTTGCTGCAACGGTTGACGGGCGATCGACGATGTCGGCTCGACGACAATCTCCTTCGATGTTGTCGTCGTCCTTGTCACTCGACGTCAACGACTGATCGAGTAGCAGTACTTGACGTCTCATGTCGTCGCCGCTAAGATTGAACTTGACGATCGTAGTAGATTCGCCGCCTGCGCTATTGAATTATTGGTAATGAATGTATGCCGATGCGTCGCGATGATAGCGCGCTGATGCCCGATGTTCTTCATCACTTAATGGCGTCTTCGTGCGAGAACGAGCTCGGTTGAACGCAATATAGTAAGAGAGAGAGAGAGAGATGCAGAACGTACACGAGCGATTGCGCAACTTTGACGGGACTCGAGAAATAATCCAAAAATTCAATTGGCGCAACGATCGATAACAGCAGCTAATGAGATGAAAGGAATATGAAAATGAAAGCCTGATATTTATTATCGAGTCATTTTATTTTTTTTCTTCTTGCAATGCTTATATTACAAAACATACTTTTTCAGACACATTGAAAATATGCTCTATTTACACTAGATGTGTAACATCTCATCTTTACAGAAATAATTAAGATTGTAATTATTATGTATAGGTATTCTCATAGGCTTTTTGTATATGATAATAATATGATTATGGCAGTAAATTTACAATAGAGTCTATTATCGTTCGCACATATAATTTTTTTTCCTACTCTGCGCTCGTTTATTTTGAAGTTTCATGATAGAGTTTTTTTACCCACCTTTGTTTTACATGAATACAGCAAAGTCAATTAAACTTTTGTTTGTTTAATAGATCTAATGTGGCCTAATTTCATCATAGTTAAATTTTAACAATTTTATTCGCTACTCTATGATTTTCTTAATTTCATTACTTTTTTTTATTAATACAAAAAATTCAAAAGAATTGTCTTTCGTAAAATAAATGTAAATAAAAAACCGTAAAAAATATTGTTAGCACAGCGTAAATGAATGCATTTCCATGAAGCTTATTGTTATATAAAGTAATTTATTTGTCAACCTTACTCTCGGTGATTCGGCCTTTTATTCTCTATAAGAACTGGCGATATGTGATAAAACCCGATAAGTTTAGAATGAGAAAAGCACACTAGTGGGTTGAATCTTATAAATTATTAAAGGTCCGATCATTTATGATTAGTTCATGTAATATATGTATTTTTTATTTAACCTCTATCATCACACTCAAAAAACCTTTTATGCTAAAAATTCAAATCGTAAGTTGATTGAACGGATTTCAAAGTAAAAAGGAGACTCAAAATAGATCCTTCTAATATTGTCTAAAAAGTACTTTGCAATCTACTTATTATCATTAATTTTTTCTTTTTCATCGCTTTTGAAAAATCCAATAGTTTATTAAGCCATTCGGATCTCAGTCCATATGTTTATCAAGTTATACATTTATTACAATGTGTATAATACGTGCAGTATGCTTTTTTTTTAATTTTTTTGTTCATACATCATAATTACATACATCTGGTATACAATGAGAAAAGTGATAGCTATTGTTACACACTTCAAGCGTTTATACGTTATTTACAATTAAAATTTGTATTTTTAAATCCTCGAACCTTAGAAGCTAGTTATATAAATTTCTATGTATAATACATTTTATCATTCAATATCACTGTAAAAAGGAAGAAAAAAGTCGAAGAACGTCGTCAAAGTTCATTGCAGCAAGAGCGGAGTAGAAGCGGTATGTATTTGAAGATAAATTCAAAAAAACGCCGTTATCGATAAATATTTATAAATACAAAAAAATTAAAAAATTATTTCATCAACATTATTGGTAAAGTCATAAGCACTGTTTGCAAGAGCTCGATGGCAGTATTGTGTTATAATTTGCAATTATAAATACGTTAGAAGTTTTGATATAATTCAAAATTTTTCACACGTTTACGATATTCGCATTAATATATTAATGAGAAAAATTAATTCTATCACATTTTAAATTGGGAAAATGAATGAAATGATTTCAAACTACTCTATAGCTGCTTAATGTTGCGGTAGTTCGGAGCGACAACTTTAACACAGATCGATCATCCGTAAGAAAATTACAGAATCATTGAAAAACACACGAGCTGGGGATAAGCATATAAATTACATTCTCCAGCACGGGGCGGTTTTTACTTTTAAACTGCATACCCTACTATATTAAACTCATATTTCAAATACAAACACTTTATATAATTCGCAATAAAGTTTCGTTACCTATGTTAAATTTCCACCCTCAGTCGCGTAATTTTATTACATACATTATATATTTATAAACACTAGATATTCGTTTTTTCACATTATACAATTAACACCAGTCAAATTTTTTTAATATTCGCGACTACTTCATTCAAAACATATGATTAATTCGTCGAAAACTCGTATATATATTGCATCGTTATTAAACGAATCAAGCCCGTAAGCTAAATATCTACAACTTACATAAGTAAAAAAAATCTCGATCGGCTAGGCTAAAATACACAATTACCAATTATTGCAATTGAAAGAAAAGCTAATAATCACATATGGGTTCGCAATGTAATAAAACTGTTCAAAGTTTTTAATCATGAAAGACGTATCAATTAGCACTGCTCCGGTGCTTCTTAGCCTTGACAGACTTATTGGCGCTCGTCGCGTTGCCACCACTAGGTGAAAAAGAGGAAGCGGTAGCGGTATCGGCTACAGGAACCATCAAAGATGTTGTCGCACTTTGGGTGCTGAGATTCAAGGCCTGATCCTCGTCCTCGCTTCGCCGGCGCTTCTCTTTCATCTGTTTCTCCATGGCCAGCATCGTGATCATTTGTTTGTGCGAGTGCCCGACGATCCAACCGTGTTGCTCGGGACATTCGTCCTCGGGGCCAACGTCTGGAGCCGGGACATCCGGAGCGACAGACACTGCGGTTGAAGTTGCCTCGGCTTTTTCATCGTCGCTTGAACTGGTGGTAGACCAGTAATAAAGTTGCCTGGTTGCAACGCGCTTCCGACGACCAATAGCAATGCCAACATCTGCGTCCACGTTGTTCCAAGAGCGTTTAGCTTTGAGCTCATCGTCCTCGTCTTTGAATTCCTTGTCTGACTGGGTTTCTTTAATCGACGAGATCTTAGGCTCTTTTGTTGACTTAGATTTTGATGATTTGTTACTGGCAGCTTTGCGTTTTTTCTGTGTAGAGGATGCCTGTTTGAGGCTATCATCGGTTTCTTCGAGCTTCGGTTTTGGTTGAGGTGTTTTTTTCGCGGGACTAGATTTAGCGGTATCTTTAGCTTGAGCCTGTTCTTTCTTATCCTCCTTGTAATCGTCGGTACCGGAGGCTTCGCTGGCCGCGCTCAACCGTTTTTCCTCCAGCTCGCGCATGATGGATTCTTCAATTGCTTTTTGCTCTTTGGCAAACATTAATTCATGCTTTTTCTCGATCGATCGCTCTTTTCGCTTCTCTCTGCTCTCGCGTAGACGAGCCTTGCCATGGCTACGATGATATTCGCGATCGGACTCGTCGTCGGAACTACTGATTTCCGCGAGTAAGCCTTGCTTACCAACGGCACATTTGCGCTGACGCCTAGCCGGTGGTATTTCGGGTGGCGATTGTTCCTCGTGGGCTTGCTCTTCCTCGGACAAATTTTGCTCTCGTTTTTGGTTTTTTACTTCTTTGCGTTTCTTTGACTCTTGGACTTTGCGATTCAAAAAGACGTGCAAAGGTAAGTTCTCGAGGTCTCCTTTTTCGCTGTTTGATTGTTTTTCCGGTAGTACAGGCGATTTTTTCATTTTCTTTTTATTTTCTTTCGGCGAGCTCCGCTTGTTTTTAGGTTTTTTCGACTCCTCTTGTTGCAGGTCGAGAATTTTCAGCGCATCTTCGACAGAAATGTATTGTTCTGAGTTAGTATTTTTATTTTCTGATATCAATTTATCCGATTTTTCTTCAGTTAAATTTTCATTTTCAGAATCTGGAACTGAACTATCTTCTCGGTACCAATCATCAAGTTCAACTGCTCGTTCTTCAGTTTCAGCATCACTGTTAGTGCGTAGTTCGGTTTCATTTATTTCTCTGTGACTTTCATCAATTACCAAAGGATGATCAGATAGTTCAGATTCAGATTTTTTACACGAATCAAGGTCTAATGCTGAACTGGCTGTTTTATTTACGTCATCTCCATCCTCCCAATTTTTTGCCATTGTTTGGTTTTCTGGGAGAATAGTTTTTTTTGAAGTCTTACTTCGATCTAAAAAAGTAAAAAACGATTTACCAATATTTTTCATAGATCAGGGTTAAATTTATAGTTTTCAACCAATTACCTCTCTTTTTTGTGGTGTTACTAGTTGTTGATTTTTTAGTTTTGATCCTTTGATCGTCCAAATTGTCTTCAAGTTGTTCAGGCTCGCTCTCTGACGAAGTTGATGACATCTCGGCAAATAGATTTTGTTTTCCCTTCGAACAGGTTCTCTGGCTTTTTGAAATCCCCACTCCAATGTCATCAGCCTTGAGTTTCGTTACGTACTCGTCCGAGCTGTCATTTTCGTACCATGCGTTGCGAGATTTTTTTTTGGCACTTTTTCCACTTTTACGCTTGTTGTTGGATTTGTTGGAATTTCGACTCGAAGAATTGGGCTGTTCGCCTGATGGACGTTTCTTCCGTCTCTCTATAAATTCGTCCATCGGTCCTAATAAATATTTAATTTAGGCATGCGTGAATGAATGAATGAACCTAATGATATCATGCATAAAGAAAGTTTTCTTAACATGTTTTTTTATTTTAACATGAGCTGAATGACGAGATCTAATAATCGACTCAATAATAAAATAAAATAAAATAATCGAAATAAATAATAATTTAAAAGCAAAGTGACTTGAAAACATACGTTAACGTTTTCGACGATTGATTTTGTCCATGATATCATTATTATGTAGTTATGATGAATGTATGAATAATTTAATTTTTTGCGTAGGTCAAATATGACTTTTAACGTGAAGATTTTTATTAAATATAGTAGTAAAAACATAGTTTAAATGTTTGTAAAATATTAACTGCATAGCATGTATGTTTGTATTAATGAGTAATTTTGTTATAATTTATTAATTATCAGTAGTGCCCACGTGGTTTTTTTAGATAAGTTGCATTAACTATCATTTATCAAAATTCATTCTTTTCTTTGTAATTTACAATTGAAGACAGATTGAGACAACATTTAATGTGGAAAAAAAATTCCCAGAGCTATTATTGAATTGCAATTTTTCGATAGGTTGATAATTATTTGAAAGGTTTCCTTTTAGATGTTTTTGAGTGAAACTGTTTATAAGTTTTATATTTTTATTTGTTTTTTTGGTATTGTATAAAGAATTGGATAAAAAAAGTAAAAAAAAGTAGTGTTTATTGTGTTTTTTATTGTTTCGTTTGTATTTTTTTACTTTTATTTATTTATATTATTTATAATAACGTTTCATTATTTTATGGTTATAGATTATACGGCAGTAACTATCATAAAATCTATTAAGTAAATTAAATTCAAAAAATTTCTTTTAAGTTTAACTCGATTAACATTGTCATTCAATTTTTTTTCTATGTTACAAAAAGTGTTGTAAATCAAAATGTTTGTGTATTTTTTTAGAAAAAATTTAGTTTGATAAACAATTTGGAATGTTCATTATATAATGTATAAATCGTGATGACTAGAAATGCAGGGTAATGCATATAAAAATTTAATAAATATAAATTATTTTCGACAACTTTGAAGAAATTTACCTATAACTTTTTTGTGATCGATCGCTTCCGATTTGGCCAATTCGTTTCTGACCAGCTCAGCATTTCGGAATTTATCATCTATCAAACTTTGAAGATTATTGCTGTAAGCTTGGACGTTTGAGGCATTGGATAAGGTGTTGTCGATGGTTCTCGAAACCAAATCAGACACGCGAAGGGAAGATGGTTCCGTTCCACTGGCGCTATCTTCGTCAAAGTCATAAACGTCCTTTGTTGATTTGTCATGCTCATTCCATGATTTATTTTTCAAGATGTCTAGTCTTTTCCTACGCTCAGCCATACCTCCTTGGAATTGACTTGAACGAATCAATGGAATATTGCGACCCTTATTTGTTATTTTACCGTCATGTCGTGATTTTTCAATAGCGCCAAAGGACCTAGCTTCACCATCTTGATTATCAGGCTGATGACCCTTGTTGTGCTCGACTGATACATTTGCATTGGAAATTCTTTGATTAGGAGAGTCATTTAGGGGTCGATCAAAGACAGTTGGAGTGTTCGATTCCGATGCTTGAGCACATGCTACTTCAGCAAGAAGACTAATCGAGCAACTGAAAAGAAAATCGAATCATTAAGACTTATTTCTTGAACGACAGGTTTGTAATAAAATTGAAAAAAAAACTTACCTCATTTCTGGTTTGGGTTGGTCGTTGCCTCTATCCGATTGATCACTTTCATATTCTTGTTCGTTGGATTTGAAGCTAGACGACGCTGCCAATAGATTTTGACCATCACCCTCTCGCATGCGCAACTCAATTTCATCACGCAATTTAATATTATATTCAAATGCCACATCAAGACTGTCATCGTTCTCCTTTTGGTAATCGGACCCATGAGCGGAGTTTTCGATCATGTTCAGACTTCGACGTTGATTTTGACGATGTTTGTAGTTGTAAGCTCGGTCGCGTACTTCGTTGTCCGGCTCACCAAGCAGCTGCAACAAATTTTCAATCAGTAAAAATGAATGATTACAAACTAAAAAAATCCAAGTCGCCAAATTACCTTATCGACTGATAACAGAAGATTGGCGAATGGTACAGCCTTTACCTGGTCATTGTGAGTGTTGGAAACATCGGGACGAACAAACATTGTATAACATTCGTAAAGCAGGTCTGCATCATTTTTTGAGACTGTGGACGATGGATTGGGTTGTTGATCGGCTTCGTTAGCGTCCGAGGTATTATCCTCGGCAACGTTTGCTGCGGAACTTGCTTCGTTTTCAAAATTCACATGGCTCGATGTTTTACGATATTTTGGCTTAATTTCAGGCTCCTCCTCGTCGCTCGAAGACGAGCTTTGACCATCGTTGTTGGCGTAGTCAGTGAAAACTCGCCGCCCACTTAAATTCCAAGAGCTATTCGACTTTTTACTAGTATCTGGCGTACTTTCCAACGTACTGGTCTCGTTAATTTTTTCTTTCGATAAAGTTCGCGTCGTCCGCTTTAATTTGCGTTCATCGACAGGCGCTGGAACATCGTCGTCGATAAATGCTTTTGATATTAGTTCTTCGGCGCGAAGTTTGCTCTGGCGACTTCGACTCGTAGTTTCGGATCTCTTTCTTTTGAGAACACGACGTGATCTGTGGGCTACATACGATTCATCTGACTCGCTGTCCGATGAACTGTTGTTCTCTGGTCGCGTTTGCCGGCTGCTGGGAACTTCTTTGACTTTTTCACCCGTTCTGCCGAACACGCTGGCGACGATTTTGTTTTTACTTCGCTCGCGTCTTTCGTTTTTCTCGATCATGGACACGTCTTCGGTATCGCTAACATCGCTAGTGGTGGTCTCGGCTCTGATCTTGGTCTCTTTGCGTTTTTTTCTGTGTGACTTTTTGGATAGGTGTTTCTTTTCATTCGCACCTGTTTCGTCGCTAATAGAGGTATCTTTGGCACTTTCAATTATCTCAGACGTCGAGTCTCTGGGTTTTTCAAAATTCATGACGTCGACGCTGGCGCTTTGAGAACTGATTGCGGCAGGCTCTTTACTACAGGCGATTTCACTTGTCATTTCTGGATCGTCGATGAGCTTTTGAATGTCCATGGACATGTTGGTGTCGAGTGAATTTTCGTCGCTATCGAAATCGGTGAGCATAGAAGGAGCCGCTTGATGCTCATTGCAACTCTCACTGGCCGTTTTCTCATTGACATTTGAAAGATCGATTTTGCTCGGAGTGATGGCCAGTTTCGTGACTATTGGAGGAATGTTTATTTCTTGCTCGGCAAGACTCACAGCAGCTGGAGTTTCGGGTTTTTCATCGGAGCGTTTATGACTGGATTTGACGTGTGGTTTGCGTTTGTTTTGAGATTTTTTTGGCTTGAGCGACGATTGTCGGTTAACTTCAGGCGTAAGATTATCTTCAACAACCGCTGATTTCGCTTCGATGGTATTTTCCTCGCGCGGTACCTCGCTATTTACAGAATTTGAAGCAGGTAGAACAGGGTCCAACTCGCTGGTATCTGGTTTTGATTTTTTAGTCGATTTTTTAGAACTTTGGGGCTTGTCGATCTCGGTAGAGGAAGAAGCAACATCGTTGGCATTTTTCGGCGTCGATTCTTTTTCAGAACTAGTGCTGACTGTTTCAGCAACTTTTACCTTATCTTTGTCGCTTTTCCAGCTTTTCGTGAAGTCATCATCGTCATCATCTTCTTTATAGCTAGGTCTTGTTCGATTGCGCCTTGGTCGACAGTTTTCGGGCTGAGTAACGTTTGAATTTATTCCACTGCGGCATGCTCTTTTGGTTTCAGCAGTCACAGTACTGACTTCTTCGTCGTCTCTACTCCTCTTGGATCTAGTTTTCTTTTTATTTTCTGTATCAGATTCAATCGCTTCGTTAGCGTTGCTCGACTCATCGACCATTGAAGTAGAATCATCGACGCGAGTCTGATTTGACGACGTATCAAGCTCAACCAGCTTTTCGACGTGATGTTTATTCTTCTTATTCTTTTTGCTTTTTTTCTGTGACGTGTTTTTGCTAGTTTCAATTTTTTCTTCCTCTACGGGTAACGAGGCTGCAGGTGTTCCCACCGGACTGACATGGTCTGTCAGAACATATTCTTCGTGGCTCATATTTTCGGTAATTTTACAAATCTCTTCGTCAAGCATTTCGTCTTCCAATTCCTCCTCGGGAGACTTGAGAGGAAGTTTGACCTCGGATAATGGTATCACTGCGTTATCAGTATCGATTTTTACTTTTTCTTCTGTGCAAACTTTTCGTTTGTTTGAGTCTATGCACAGATTGACAGGCTCTGAAAGGTCTATTTTGGTGGCTAAATTAATGGGCTGCTCATCCGCAACGTTTTTAATTAAGCTCACTGGCTCATCTTCGTTTATCTTTTTACTACTTTCCCCGTAATCAGAGTCGTCTGCCGAAGATAATTCTTTTTGTTTATTATTTGTATCGTCAGAATTAATGGTAGTATCAATTTTTGAACTATTATTGGCATTGTTTTGCCTGAGTTTAAGCATATGCGACTGAGTGGTATTATGTTTGTTCAGACTGCTTCTGCGAGTGAAAAGCGTATTGCAAACATCGCATAAATATTTTTGTTCTTCTTTTGTCAATTTGGGTTTTTTCGCATTAACGAGAACTTTGCTAGATTTTGTTCCCAGAGAATAATCATTTGTATCTTTTTTATTCGCGAGTGTTGTGTCTTGAGCGATTGATTTAGCGTTATCAGAATTATCAATCTGCTTTTCAGATGATGCAGATTTATCCAAAACCGTATTTTCCTTTTCTTTATCAGAAATTGTGGTATTTTCATCATTTTTCTTAATTTGAACCAACAATTTATCGACTATAAGATCTTTAGATTTTCCTTGGATGTTATTGTCGTTTTCCTGCGGAAGCTCTTGTGTTTCTAATTTGCGCTCTGTATAAATGGTGTCTTTGGCTGCTTTGTTTGGTTCCCCAGAAGCTTCTTGCTTCAGAGATTTGCTAACACTCTCAGCGACAACACCAACAACTGCCTCGAGTTCAGGCTCCGCGGGCACTCCTCTGGCACTTGGTATTTCAATCTGATCTTCTGTAAGAATTGCACTTTTCTTGCTCTTTTTCTTTAAAATAGGCTTGCTTTCTTTGCTCGTATCGTTTTCACTACTGTCCAATTTATTCAGATTATCACTTGCAGTAGATACTAAATTATCAGAAGTTTTGGAAAACGGTTTGACGGGCTCATCGACCAATGGCGATTTTTTCTTGTCTTTCTTTTTTGAATCGCGCTTTTTATTTTTAGAAGAATCTGATACCTTTTTGGCTACTTCGGCAATTGCTGTTTCTGGTTTCTTAAATTTCTGCTTTTGATCATTAACTTTATCTAAATACTTCACTTGCGGTTCCGGTTTTTTATTATTTTTTATATTATTATCGTTCTTTGGGTCGGGTTTTTTCATAATGTGAGCATTGCCGATAAGTTCAAGAAACTCGTTCAGTGGAACGATTTTTCTCTCTTCTTTAGTTTTATTGTTTCGTTTATGCTCGATGACAGGCTCCTTGACGAGCGATTCACGTGCCGATTCTATATTTAGAGATGCTTTCTGATGTTGAGCTTCTGGTATAGCAGGAATGACATTGTCACTGAGAAGTTCGAGACGTTCATCAGCCAATGATACATTTTTCTTTGATGTTTGTTTAGGAATTGACTTTTTCGCATTATTCTTGTCATTTACAACCGATTTTACTTCTGTAATTTTTTGTGTCTCAGCCTTTGACGTCGAGCTTAAATCATCGGTTGATTTTGTCAAAGATGTTTCAGATTTTTTTGACTTTTTATTCGAAACGCGTTTATTTAGTTTTTCATCAGATTTATTATCACTGATAATTTTAACATTCTTTCGGATGTCCCCTGAATTATCACTTTTAACGTCTTCAAGTACGTTATCATTTAATTTTTCAGTTCCATCCTGAGAGTTAATTGTCTTTGACTTACGACTCGATGAACGTTTCTTTATTATATTCTCTTCGTTTACAGAGCTGTCTGGAATTGTTTCCTTATCACTGGGAATCACAGTATGCTCATCGGCTAATGTCACACTTTTCTTAACTTTTTTAGATAAATTGATTTCATTATCGACATTGATGGAATTTTCTGTGATCATTTCTGAATTCTGAGTTACTTCATCTCTTACAGTTACATCTTCAGCTATTGTGACGTTTTTCTTCGTTCTTTGTGAGCTTCGTGTTTTCTCTTTGATATTTGTAATTTCATTAGAACTGTCTGAGGCATCGACAGTACTTGTGAGTTTAACCTGTTCGTTTTTCTTTCTCAAAGATGTTCTTTTCTCTGGTGCACTTTCTGAAACTGACGTTTTTGAAATTAAAGTAGAATCAGACAAATCATCTGCGTCTGAATTTATTTTTTTGATTTTTTTGTTATTTAATTTTTTATTTTTGATGTTTTCAGTATTTTCAGCAGCAGCGGTCTCGCTTTCAATCAAGTCAACTTTGGCTGCTTCATCGGACGGTAAAATTTCACTAGAACTCTCTATTAATGTAGAAGTTGCTTTTTTACTTTTTTTATTTTCCGCTTGCTTTGGAATTGTATCTTCAAATGTTATGTCGTCAACTGAACTAACGGAAGCATCACGGCTAACGTCAGAACTAACATTACGTCTTGAGCGTCGAGGCGTGGACGTTGTGAGCTCAGATGGTTCAAAATCAGTTTCTTTAATACTTGCGTTCAAAGTTGTCGACTTAGTATTCTGTTTTATTCGCTGACTACATCTCTTAGAGGTCCGTTTCGGTACGATCTCATCCTCTGATTCGGACAATGGGTGATATGTTGAACCGTTGCTAGAAATTGAGATATCAGTTTGGTCGCTTTCGGATATTTCTGATTCTGAATCACTAGGAATGTATAAAGCTTTTTGGCGTTTAGACGAGGCTTTGGGAACTTCGCTTGTTTCGGGAATTTTAAATGATTCTTCTGCAACTTGAGACACGATAGGTGAGCTTTCGAGCATGCTTTTTTCGTTTTTCGAGTTCTTTTTCGCAGATTTTGACAGTTGTGCTTTACTAGATTCGTTCTTTGCAACGATAGGCTGTTCATTCTTTTTAGCTTTCTTCGATTTTCCTTTTTTTGATTTATGGACATTTTTATTTTCTGTTTGATTTTGTACATTTGCTTTTTCAACAATCACTGTTTCACTCGGCTGTGCTGCTGATTCTATCTTTAAGCTTGGTTCAGTGACTGAAGATACAATTTCATCAGGCGACGTCGTTGTAGTTTCTGCTTTGTCTGAATTTTGTTCTGTTATATTAGTATTTGGTCCTAAAGTAATCGCACTTTCTCTGTTGTCGATATCTTTTTCGATTTTATTATCTACACTTAAGTCTATACTCACATTTAGAGATTTTTCTACGCTAACCAAAGAAATATTTTCATTACTCGCATTTTCTGATTGTATGACTTTGTCTGTTTTCTTTTTTCGTGCAGTTGTTTTGCCGTTTGATTTTTTAGTTACTTTAACTGACTTGTTACTTTTTTCTAAAGTAGCTAATATGGAATCCAACGTGGTAGAAATCGCAGAATCTGTCAAAGAATTGTGTATTTTTCTTCTGCCCGATTTTATTTCCTTTGACACTTCATCGAGCTTTTCTGTTGCCTCGCTCGATTTTGTACTGTCAATAATCGGCGTATTTATCTGAGTGATTAACTCTTCTTCTTTTTTCTGTTCAATAACATTAGGTATGTTCAAAATTGTGTCCTTCTGTGGCAAGACATTCTCTAAACTTTGTTCATCTGTTTTCTGTATATCAGCGCTAGTTTCAGATTTTGTATTAATTGTGGTTTCTAATTTTACAGTAGAGACCACAGAATCGATTTTTTCAATTGCACCACATGTTTCTTTTGTATTTCTTAAATTTTCTACAGCTATGCTAGGTTCGATAATATTTACAGACTTATTAATATCCAACTCTTTTTCGAGTTTTTGTGTGTCGACTTTAATAGTATTAGATTTATCAAGCGTTTTTTCGGTAACTTTAGAATATTCATTCTTATTACTACTTGCTTTATTAACTAAACTGTTCTGTTCGCCAATATCTGGCGCAACAGTACTTTCCAAATTATTTACAGATTTGTTTACGATTAAGCTATTATCTAAATTCACAGTTGTGTTTCTGTAGAATGAAATTTCAGTTTTAGCCGTTTCAACAGTTTTTGTACTATTACTTGTTTGCACATTTGTATTATCTGAATTGCGTCGTGAGGTGAGATCGAGACAACTGCCTTCACCATCGAGTAAAACGTCTTTCTGCTTTGCGATTTTGGAAACAATTTTCTCTAAGAAAGATCCCTTCCCCTTGCATTTTCTTCTAGTTAAATCTAAAATTATATCGTTCGCGGGTTGATCAGCAACGATCGGAGACGAGATCTTTTCCAGAACATTTTGAAGCGGTCTACTGGATGTTGGCAGATTGCTCTTATCTTCCACTGCGCTGATTTCAGTGCTTTTTAGCGTCACCGGTGTTTCTTCTACTTTTGTTTCGCTGACCGGTTTTTCGACTTTCGCGCTGTTGGCTTGGACCAGTGCTGGAGGTGCGGGGACATTGGCCTCGGCCGCCTTACTCGTGCTCTCGCCACTGCTACTTTCGACTGTGAGCGTGCCACTGCTTTGACAAGCATTTTCCGTATTATTGGCATCCATACCGATGCTCGTCTGGACCGTGAGTACGTTGATGGTCGTATCAATTTTTTCCATTGGTACGTTCACACCCTCAGTCAAAATGCCGATAACACTGCTCAATGAACGCTTTGTCGCTCCTACAACTTTTCCTCTTGAGCCTTTGATTTTTTTAGGCTTAGCTACCTTCGATTTTAGAATTGCGTCGGTGGAATTCTCTTTGCCGCTATCCATATTCGAATTCGAAGATTCGAGAAGAAGATGTTCTATATTCGAGTTCTGCAAGCTCTTTTCCACTGTAAGAATGGCCTCGTTCACCGATGCCACTGCAATATTAGTTTCTTCCGCAGTAGTGGCATCGATTACTTCAGGCGCTGCAATCTGAGCAATATTCTCAGTGGTGACTGGAGCTTCGATAACGGACTCCGGTGCAGGTCCAAAATCAATCTTAATTTGCGCTGGATGCTTTGGTTGTACCGGACAAGCTTTGAGCGGAGTACCCGAAATCGGTGGCTCGTATTCTGTGCTCTTCGCAGCTTGCTTCTTCTTTTTACTTGGAGCCGATTTAATTGTTTCATCTTCGCTGCTTTTTTTCACATTCTCTGAATTATCAACTGAATCGACTGCGACAGCTTTGGCCTCGCTATCCTTTATTCTCAATGACTTCCTTTTGACAGGAGTTGTTTCGAGCTTCAATTGTAACGCTACTTCGTTTAACGACGCATCAGACTCTATGGTTTCATTAACGGCTTTTTTATTCGAATTTTTCTTTTGAGATCGCTTCGAATCTTTCTTTGCTGTCGAATCATTAGCTGATTTTTTGTCAGTAACGATTTCTTGAACTTCCTTAGCTTTTGTAACCTTAGAAATGCTTCTTCTCCTGCCTAAAGAAATTTCACCCTCATCGGAAGTTATTGGAACGGGCTCCAAAATAATCTTGGCTGTCTTTTTGAGAGCTTCTGCGAGAGACCGTCTAGTCTTTGGTTCAGTTTCTACACCCGAAGTTCTCCTTAATGATCTGACTTTTGCTTCTTCGGGTACAGAGGTATTATCCGAAGCACCAGCTTCGCCCGTTGATTCTCTCTTCGATCTCCTACTTCTACTAACTGGTCTCGATTCCTCATCGGGTTTTTCGTTTTTATTCGCATCCTCTTCGAGGCTACGGCGACTAGTCGAGGTCGTTCTCGCAGACTTCTTGGATCCAAGTTTACTCAAGGCTGCATTTGCGTTTGCAGCACTTAGCCGAGTGGTACGTTGGATCGAAGTGTGTGTTTTCCAGGCGAGTTTTGCAGCAGTTCGCAATTTCGAACGCGTAAGTTGCCGCGCCGGATCATTCGTCGGTCTTCTGGTGTTAATACTTGTCGCATCAGGTTTGGCAAATTTACCATCAACCGTCCGATGCTGCAATTTGGCCTTTAGTGCATTCTGTGACAACTGAGAAAGATCGATGTTATTTAGCTTTCGTTTTTTGTCTGATGTCATCAATTTCATTCGTGTCTTTTCAACAGTCGTATTGCGAAGCCTGCCCGTTGTAACTCGCAATTGTGGCAAAGAAGTATTTTTCGAAGTTGAAGCACGCAATCTAGAGCTTTTGATTTCCGTATTTTCTTCAACTTTTTCTTGCTCTGTGCTGTCTTCGTCTTCTTCCGCTCTGTCTTCTTCATCGCGAGCGAGCTGCTTTTCTTCCCGAAGATTTTTCTTCCGTTGGAAAGATTTGGCGTTCTTCAACAATTTGTTACGCAACGCAGCCTTACTCCTGGATATACGATCCGCAGAGTTATCTGTACCTGACATTGATTGTGTCTGGAAGAGAAAATATTTTATTGATTTTTTAAAAATTTCATTTATAACTGGTACATATTATATTTTTGTATGGAAACGTATAGAAAAAAGTAATTATTATTTCCTAAAAATTATTTTTTAAATTGAAATCAATTCATAAATATTGACGATCGCGAAGTTATTTAAAGTATTTAAAAAAATCAATTCTTGTATAAATTTTATTACTAAAAATAATTTTAACTATTTTTGATTTTATAAATTTATGCAAGATCAAATAGTTTTAGAATTAAAATAGATGTCAAACTATTTAAAGGAAAAACTACCGACTGAATAAATTAAATATTTTATAGTTATTATGAACAATTATTAAATTCATTAATAATGGAAGCTAAGCAGTGTCAGTACTATTATGGTATTGACGCGTACCCGTTAATTTTATCAAGACCATTATCAGCGAAACATTTTGGGGTAAGAACTTGGCAAAAAAAACCGATAATGTCACAAAGATCTTAGAAACAGATTTGACCCCAAGGGCTGTGGGTCAAGCTTAAAATATCTCCCCCGGAGCAACCGTGATGCTAATAAATTTATTAAACATGCGCGACACATACAAGTCATCTGATTACATTATTTAATCTCGTGGACTTGTCATCGGATGAGTCGCTTTGTGCGGGGCACGATCTCTACAACAGTCATACTGTATCGTATAATCATCATTACCATAAATACATAAATATAATTTTTATATACCAATGTGTTGATATTATTATGATTAATTATTCATGGTTCAATAACGACGATTGAATATAATTACGAGAATTGTACAATAAATTTTATCAAAATTGTACCCTACGCGTAACGAGCTTGATTAACGGGTTATGAAAATTAATTTAGATTTTAGCATATTCATTGAAGTATATAATGAACTAACAGTGCTAAAATTAATATGGAGCTACTAAAATAGTTATTGTTTCCGGTAAATTGGGATTCTAATATTTTCTAAAAATGAATAACTTCTATATTCAAAGTCACCGGTAAAACAAGTATATTGCTCTTATTATCCTACTTTCTTATTTTCTTTTTTTCAACATTTTCATTCTTTAATTAATATTTTATTTATAAAACATCTGGAATTTGAACGTGTACTATGTGAAAATTTAATTACAGTCAGCGGCTATATATACTTAATGGTGCAAATACGATCTCATATGTTTAATCAATTGACACTTAATATTTTACAATTTCAAGCGCGAATTATATCACATAAAAATCAACTTATGTTTAATTGCATTATTTCTCTGCGAATATTCAATTTATAATTGAAATTACTTAAAATTTTATAAACGATTATCTGTTAATTTCAAAGTAGAAATTTGATTTTTTTAAATCTCTCGTAATGGATATTGCAATTAAAACTCTAACCCTACTGTTTTAAATTTCTTAAAACAATCGTTGTAATTAAAATATAATATGAAATCAAACATACATTACGTAATCTGCCTTGTGATCGGGCAGAACTGCCTTGAAGGACTGTTCTAGTGATCCTTTTAGCTGGCAAATTGGCCAACATTTTTTGAATGCTTTCACCTGTAAACCAATCGTTTTTGTTCAATTATTAAGAACAACATCAACCGCTTCATGTGTTTTTGAAAGCGAAACCTACGATCACTCGGCCGAACTCGCGGTGCGTTATGGTCCCTGGGACGCTTCATGCGCGGGCTCTTGGGCGCCTGTGAATTTTCGATGTTGCGCTTCATGCCTCTGCGTCGTCGTCGGCTGCCGAACGGACGCCACTTGTTCTTTTTCTTGCTGTTGCCGAAGAGACCGCTGAGCCAGACTTGGTCGCCGCCGCACTCGAGCATATGTCGATGCAGCTCCGCCAAGATCGCGTACTGCTTGTGGCACTTGGTGCAGACTTTTTCGCTCAGCGTGCTCTGCTGTCGCGTACGAATCTGCGAGGTGTTCAGCGGATTGTTCACGCTAGGCTGCGGCAGGAAGACCAAGTGCTTGTACAACTCGCGCTGATCCCCGGAGAATTCGTAATGCGAGCACCAGACGTTCGGGTGGGCCATTTGTTTGTGCTCTTCGAGCTCTTTCAAAGTCACCTGTGAACGAATTACGATATAGTTGTAAATATCGTAGATTTTTACAAATTATAGAGATAAAAGATTTTAATGACTACTACTCTGAAACTTAATTTGTTATCATCGAACTACTTTCGTTGTCATTTTAATGATCGAAATTAGATAATAATGACTCTTAGTTGTCGTTACATAACTTGATAAGGAAATTCTTCAATGAATTGACAAAAAATATATGCATAAATAAAAACAAAACAGCGAACAAACTGCATATTGTTGCATACAATATAATTCTACAATATAATTTCAAATTTTTTGAATGTTTGCGTCTAGTATCTCACCCTACAAAAGATGTTATAATAATTATGTTATAATGTAGTTATAAAAATCAAAAATTAACAGTAGATGTAAAAGTTGTATTTGAAATTGCTATATGACATAGATTTGAAGTGTTTTTTTATGACGAAAAGATAAGGCACAAGAAAGAAATGGTTCAAAATCAAGAATGATAACAAAGCGCATAAGTTTATCAAAAGAATCACATAGTAAATATTTAGATCGCATATAAACTAAGAAATGTAACGATTGTAAACAGAGGAAATGATTTCTCAGCTTGTAATCAAATTTTTCACGGGTTATTAAAGACTATAACGATTGAACGATAAAAGCGTAAGAGTACGTAATAATATTTTTAGAAAATAGTATATTCTTGGCACCTAAGGTGTGAAAAACTGGAAAATCTTAGAGAATGTGTAATTCATCAGCCGAGGCGATGCCGAGTACTATTTACTACTGTGAGTAAAACGATTACTATTACTACTATTTATTTTCCGCATATTCATTTGACATTAAAAAATGGTGGGTTATCATTTTTTTATCTAAAAATAAATTTGTATTATAACTATGCAGTGAAAAATTTGCACATAAGTAAAACATCGAGCAAAACTCACGTATTTATCAGCACAGGCCTCGCATATGTAAATCCTGGGCCTCGACCATTCACCCGAGAGTTCAGCGTGAATCGGTTTATCTTCCTCGATGTTCTTTTTTACATTACTTCCGGGAGGCCCACTATGCACTTTCATGAAACTTTGAAACTCACTACTAAACACAGTCGGCGGCTCGATCGACACATTCACTGCAGAATCGCACTGAACTTGAACTGACTCCACTACACGATCCGAATTTTCCGTTGATGAGGAGGAAAAATCCCTTCCACTTGTTTTCGACTCGCGATCTGTTGTGTCTGTAGAGTTCAATTTGATTTTTGTCTCACTAACGTCTGAAGTAGTCCACTGGAAGTCTCCTCCGCTGAATTTTGACTCGTTACCACCGATTACGACCGATCGGCCGAACCAGTGCGTGTGAAATTGTTCCATCGCAGCCGAGGCATCGTCCTTAGAGTCGTCGGAGTCAGTTGAAATTCCAGCCAGCTTCTGTCGCCTACGCAACTTCAACTGCGTCGCCAAATCGAACCTGTCGAGGTCCTCGTTTGGACTGGTCGATTGACCTTTCCCGTCGTATTTGCGCGGGAAGTTGAACTTCTCGAAAGAGAGGCGTCTGCGATGCAGTTGCTTGGCAGTATTACTGACTCCGGGCTTATCGGCGTTCTCGCTCGAGTTTTCGTCAGCGTCGATGGGCCGATAATCGCGCTCATAAACCGGCGCCGCGGCCGTCAAGCTAATGTCGATGGGCAGTTGATCGTACCTCGGCGAGCCACCGCCACTGCTCTCATTGGCCGTTCGCAGAGGACGTTCGTCCGCTGCGCTCGTAGTTGTTGTCGTCGCTGTCGTCGTCGTCGCCGACTGACGCTGTTGGTTCGAGTCTTTGGTCTGCAGCCTGCCGTCGATAAAGTGCGAGAGATTTTCTTGTATATTTCCCACGATCCTGCGATAAAAGGCCTTGTCGAACTGGTTGCTCGAGGCCTCCTCCTCTTGCTGCTGTTTTGCGTGGCTCTCGCTCACGTGTCTGGTGAGCGCGTCGCGGCTCGCGTACCTCGTGCTGCACACGAGACAGCCGTGGTACTTGTCGCTGTGGCTGCCGACCATGTGCTTGAACAATCCCTCGAGATTGCTCGACTTCTGCTCGGAGCAGTGCAGGCAAGTCTGACGCTGCTGGGCTTTGTTGCTGGCCGCGCGAGAGCCAACGGAGCTGCCGTGACTGTGGCGCGACGTCCTCTCGGAGCGTCGGCCGGTGGTCGAGCTGGCGCACCGGTGCATTCGCTCGGTGTGGCGCTGACGCACCGAGATCGTGGCGAAATTCCGATCGCAGTAGAGGCAGAGGATCTTCTGGACGGCGGCCGGGCTCAATCTCGACAAGGCGACTGGCCTCCTCACCGCCTTTTGCGCGTTCATGAGTTGCTTACTGAACGACGATGCTTCCACCTTCGTTAATGGTATGCTGCAATGTAGACTAGCACGTAGTGCAGTGGCCGTGATTTTTTTCGGATCTGCCACTGTCACCCCAGTCTTTGCCACCGTACACGGCGACGTCGTCGTCGTCGTCGTCGATTTGGGTGAAACAGGGCCGTTACTTGCCACCGGCACTGTCTTCTTTTCTTCTTTGGACTCGGCTTCTGGAGAACTTTTGAACGAATGCGGCATGACCTTCGTGTCCGATTCTTCAACAAGACGATCTAGTATGTCCCTGACTACTGACTTACAGACCTCGTTTATCTCCTCCTCTGGCTGAGCTTCGCTGCTTTCTTGTGGTGTCGTCTCCTGCTGAAGCTCCGTACCTTTGACCTCTGCGCTCTGATCGGGCTGCATCGTTGCGACCACTGCGTCCGGCTTGTTCGAGCCCGACTCGTCCTTGGTCGACGACGGAGCTGCTGCCGCCACGTCGAGCTTCGAGGACTCCTTGTGCTGATCCGTGACGGGCACGGGCTCGGGACCGTTCAACACCGTCATCGTCGTGCAAATGTCATCAACCGAGGCGATTTGAGACTTTTTCGCTTCCTGCGGCTGTTGCTGCTGCTGCGGCGGCGCCGTCGATGGCACTTTCTTGCGCAAATTGGCTATCACGTTGCTGAGACGGCTGCGCTTGTCCTCGGCGGTCTTGCAGCTACTCGTGCCGTGCGTCTGACCACTGCCGCTGTGCTGATAGGGCTGATGATTCTGATGTCGATGATGATTCTGATGCGGATGGTGGTGAGCTTGCTGCTGCTGACTCGGGCTCGCGGGCTGCTGACTTACTCGGCTCAAGTCATCGAGACTGTGAGTGGAGGCGACCATCTTCGAGACGCTGAGAGCAGCTGCGGACACCTCGGTCGCTTTGCGCACAGCTACGTCGGCTTCTGCAAAATAACCAAGAAATAACAACTTTATTAGACACGTTCTTCATAATAAGGGATTTAAAAAATCAATTTGAAAAATTTATGAAAACTGTAATGCCTAAAAATTACATAATAAATGTAATACCATAATGGTACATCATTAGTTGCTATTATTTTGGGGACTGATCTGTTATAATTATGTTATGAATATAAAATTTTTAAAAAAAGCAATAATATTACTTGAAGCCTTCACAACTAGATGGCGAGTACCTTCAGATATAAATCTGCAAGTGGCTTACTCGTGGCAATATATATAATGATCGCCAATAAATCCACTTTCAAATTTAAATGATATTACTTTTTTTTGAGAAACACTTGAACATACAAAGTCTTTCCTTGTTGATTATTCAGTGCATATAATTTCAACTAAAGCTTGTAAATTTTGAAAAAGCTGCGCTGAGATTGTTGCTCGGTGTGTAATTTCAGCCTAGCCCAAAAAGCGCGCGCGCGAGAAACATTAGGCTTCGTATCCGAAACGGTGTACACAGTACACACGCACACACACACACACTAGCAGCTGCGATAGTCGAGCATCATCGATTTTCTTCGACTGTGTTTTACGGGCAAAATCTCCGTTCGCGTCCATCCGCCGGAAGCTTTACTGCAATACATTGGAGAATAGCGATGTATGGCAAGGCTTATGGGTGTATGTATAACGTACGTACTGCAGCGCACACACATACACGGTTATACTGCCAGAGCAAAGCTTTCTCTCTTGTTAAAGCCCAACTACCGTAGATACACATGCACGGGGATGTGTGTATCGACAAAATCGGATATACCCAATTCAAGAAATCAGAGCGCACTTTGATGTATCTTTCGCTGCGGAAGACGAAGCCATTGCGAATTTTCGAAATAACAATTGGGTCAGAATTCAGAAGTTGCTATTTTGCAAAAATATAGGACTTTAAAGAATGAATTTTGTAGTGGAAGAAGTGAAATGGAAAAGCGGAAATTTATGTTTTTGAAAAGCTTTTGATCTCCTTAATGTGTCAAAAAAACCATTCAATTATTTAAAAATCACGAAATCATTTCGAACTTGTACTGTATACGAATAGGCGAAATTTTGCAGTTTTAGTTTAATTACATTCGACTGCACGCATAAAAAGCTGCTTTTGGTAAATATACTGTTTTGCGCGCTCTCTACTGAAAAGTTGCAGAGCTTGTCGCGCATGAGAAAAAAAATACACTGCAAGTAACTCCGAGAGCAAAGTAGAGGAGTAATTGTGATTTAGTTTTAAACATAGAAATACTACCATGAACTTCAACAAACAAAATTCGCGAAAAAAAATACCACTGCAGTTTTTACGAGACGAAGTGAAAAAAAAAAATAAAAAACTTTGAGCAACAACGGAAGAGAACTAGAGAGAGAGAGAGAAAGAGAGGGTAAAAGTTTATACATTCTGCCTGTGCTGCAGGTATTCATGTGAATATACATTACATAAGAGACAATGCAGCGCTCGCTATATCGACCCGTGTGCTCGGGCGTAAAAGCTCGAGCCAGACGAGTCATGTATATGGAGAGATAGAGCGAGAGAGAGAGAGAGAAAGAGAGAGAGAGAGGATGAGGACGGGAAGAGTACACCTCACATATATAACCAAAGGTCCATATATCAATTAATGCGCCAGACCAATTTCCCGCAGTTGTGTTGATTCAGATTTTCGTGTGCATATAATGCCACGCAGCAGCAGCAGCAGCAGCAGCAGCCATTCGTGGCTCTCTTTCGGGCGTAGCTCTCTGGCCTTATATATATAGCGTAAGCTAGGCCACACATCATATATATATAATACAACACACATACGTGCAGCAGCGTCGAAATAGCTCGACGCGGCTGTCGATGACCAAATAGCTTTTCTTTGAAGTTTGCTGTACTGCACGTAAGGATCGCACACGTTGTGTTATCCTTTTGAATTGAGAGCCCTGCTGGCTGTATTAGTTGGCATTGATCGGGGAATAATGTTATTCAAATGGAATCACCAATCTCGTGGCGTAATTCAAAACCGTATATACATGTAAGAGCTCTATATCGGCGGGATGAAGCATTTTCATATTCGTTATGTACCATAATAACTTTTTTATGAGCACTTTTAATTTTATACTTCGAAAAAGCTTGGGCGCTTGACTTTTTTTTCCTTTTTAACAATTTTTCGTTTAATATCTTCATCGTATGCATTGAAGTTAAATTAAATGCGAAAAATACATTTATATACGGGATGAAATTTGTAGATTTTTTGCCGAGAGTAAAATGAATAATGCGAAATTATTGCGCGTAATGGAAAAATGCGTCGCTGACGATTTCGAGTTTACATATTCATCACGAAAAATGTTTTAATAATTTAGATACTTTTTTTATTTATCTCGCATACGAATTATTATTACTCAGGACCCGCCCGTCGAGAATAACTCTGCTCCGCGCGCAAATCGTCATAATAATGCTTGAAAAGTTGCAATAAGTATCCAAAGGACGAAACAAAGAATCTCTCTCTCTCTCTCTCCTCCTTTACTTATTTCTCATGATATAAAGGAGTGAAGAGATTCCGGCGAGAGTAAGAGCGAGGGAGCAGAGCTCCACCCTGGCTTGTGCTGCGGTGGCGGTGGCGACGGCTAAAGTCTAACATGGCCCGAGGTATGTCTACATGTATACTTATACGTACACGACTCTTGCGCTCTTACAAATGCAGAGAGCCGAGGAGCAAGAAGGAAGAGAGAGAGAGAGAGAGAGAGAGAGAGAGAGAGAAGAAAAAAACAGCAGCGGGAAGAGATGAGCACGCATGTGTGCGCGCAGCAGAGGCAAACAAAGAATTCCGAAAAATCGAGCGTATGCGCGGCGTGGGTTGGGGACTTAGCATTGAAAGAGAAAGCGAAAGAGAAAGAGAGAGAGAGAAAGAAGGAAAAAGAGTAGAAAAAATCATGGTTCCTACTTATATTTATTGCAAAATAAAAATATGAATGTTGAGGAGACCAGAGGGTCGCAGTAAAAATTATTTAAATTTTCATGCTCGTTTTCTGAAATTTCTACTGAATATTTTTTTATCAAAGAGTATTTTTAAAAAAATTTAAAGGTACCGCTGCCATTTAAAGAAATTTCAGATAACGGGCTTGGAAAATTCTCATTTTTCGAGCTTCCTATCAAGATGCGGTTGGAGCTCTGATCAAGTGTTTTTAAAAATTGAAAAAGTTCAAACGCTAAGACTAATTTTCTTACTTTTCATTCGTGTTTTTCTTGTCTTCGCCTCAACTACAAGTGTCGGCTCTTCTAAGTTACAAGCGTGCGGCTAATAATGTCTTGATTAAAAAATGCGCAGAAACGGAGGTACGGCGCGCGAATATAAATTGATTCACCGATACACGTGTGCCACGACGCGCTGCACGTAAATTGCAATCGCTCGGCATCTCTCTCTGCCTCGGTCTATCTAAGCACGATCGTAAACAGACTCATTCCACAGAGCAGCCAGAAACGTTATGAGCTCGAGACGCACACCGCTCGCTGCGGTATATATACAAGTCGGCGTGCTACTCGGCTGAGGAGATCCCACTCCGATGTATATTATACATTTGAGCGCGCGCGCGCTTGAGATATACGTAAATTTATGTATGTACAGAAGTAACGGTACGAAGTCGACTCGCTGGCTCGCGAGCAGCGCCACGATGCGCTCGAGCTTATCCAGTAACCTGGTTATATGCCGCGCGTATTTACGCGTGTATGTGCAATGTTCATCCATCGCTTTCTTTTTTAGTTTTTTCCGCTCGCGCGTCTCTAGTCCATTGCCAACGGAGATGCGCACTTACGTGCGGATGCTCATTTTTCTGCACTTGCGGGAAAGCACGTTAGCTACTTAATTTTTTCTGTGTTATGTCATTTTATTGAATTGAATATATTTATCCCCACGAATCGAACTTGTTTTGTGAATTCTCATAACTTGTTTATTTTTCAGTCTTTTTGTAAAAAAAAAATGAAGTCTCGGGCGAAATATTTTCATTTTTAAGTAACAATGTACGCGCAGCTGAGCTGAAAAGGACCCCCTCGTGGATGATCACTTAAATGGCGGGAGCGCCATACCGGCGTCCGTCTCGGTGTCATAATGTACTTGTTTATATAAACGTACACTGCATAGTGTGCATACACAACACTCGAGCAGTAAAGAGAAAGACAGAGCAGCGCGAGAGAGAGACAGGGCAGAAAAAGTACAAATTTTTAACGAGACACCAAAGTTACGAGAAGATTAATTGCTGGACATTATGTGCCCGTGAGCAATCATTATATGCGCGAGGGCAAAAAGTCGTCAACGACCTCGGGGACTTTTAATCGTTTCGCATTTTCGAGGTGCTGTAAACAGGAGTCTTGCTCACGCGCGCGAACGCTATGCGACGAAGCGACATCTCGCCCCGAAGCCAGCTGTTGCGTGCTTCGTCGCACCAGGCAAAGAGAGACAGAGACAGCAATGAAAAAAAAAACAGAAGACGAATATACGATTTTCCAGAGAGCAGAAAAATAAAATAGAACTAATTAGTTCTTATTTCCAAACGAGTCTCGAGGGCTAATCGATCTCTAAGCGCGTCGAAACGTCGATCCAAGTATCGATCAGCCTCTCGGTCTTGGCGCAAATGTACACGGCAAAGGCGTTACGTAACTTTCGTTGGTTATGCGGTGGATAGAGAGATACTGCGGGAATAGGCTCCGAGCCACGGCACGTATATAGAGCGTCGATGTTGGAGCTGCAAATGGACGTATAATGTACGAGAGCGGATCATTGAACGATCGTCACTTCTCCGTTCGCAGCTCGGCACTCGTTTATCGATCGATTTATACCACTTACTACAAATTCACGAAACAATTAGCTAGTACGATTTTTTTGGATTTTGCAAAATCATATTGATTGGATTTAGCGAGAAGACATATTTTGCACGCGGATCAAAATTGTATACATTTACATAAAATAAAAACCAGTTACTCGTATGG